AGTTCAGACCCTAGTATATCCAAACAAAACAACAACAACAACAAAACAGTATGTGAAATGAATAATTTGAGGTCCCAGCTTTCGAAACTAGAGAAAGAAAAATTTCACAAAGAAAGAAGAAAACAAAATGAGAATGGAAACTGATGAAATAGAAAATTAATTATAGAAAAATAACTTACACCAATAGCTGATTCTTTAAAAATACTTGCAAAACTGATAAAAAAAATTGACATAAGCAGTATCAAGAAGGAAAGAGGGAGAATTACTACAGAGTTACATATATGAAAGGCTGATAAAGGAATACTATGATTCACTTTATACCAGTAAATTTGACAACTCAGATGAAATACAGAAATTCCTTGAAACATAAATGACAAAACTGACATAAGAAACAAACTCTGAATAGCTTTATATCTTCCTAAAAGTTTTTGTATTTCTAATAAAAAATTTTACCATAGAAAAAACCCATGATGGGCTGGGAAGGTGGCTCAATGGTAGAGCGCTTGCCTTGCATGCATGAGGCCCTGGGTTCAATTCCTCAGCACCACATAAGAAAAAAGCCGGAAGTGGCGCTGTTGCTCAAGTGGTAGAGTGCTATCCTTGAGCTGAAGAGCTGAGGGACAGCGCCCAGGCCCAGAGTTCAGGCCCCACGACCGGACCAAAAAAAAAAACCCATGACTAAATGACTCACAGTAGTAAATTTAAGCAGACATTTAAAAAGGAATAATATCCATCTTACAAAAAAATCTTTTTAGAGGAAGAGGAAACACAAGATTCATGTTTTCAAATCTAGTGTAACATAGCATAAAGAGGAGATAAGGAAAAAAATAGAAACAAAGAAAATGTAATAACATCTTATATAAGTGCCAGCAAATGAGAGTATCAAAATCAGACAATGCGTTGTTTGAAAAGAAACTAGAATGTGAACATAAATATAAAATCCTCAACTGAAATTAGAATGTAAATCCAGCAACATATTGAAAATACAATACATCATAGAGTTTATCCTAAGCTAAAATGTTGATTTAATATTCAGGAGTTAATTCAATGTAAGATTATTTCTATAGACTTAGAAAATCATTTGACTACATTTAGGACACATTTATGTTGCAGTACAATAAAAACAAACACAAACAGTATATTAGTAATAGAAGGTCGCCCCTTCTGTTATAAGTGATTCCGAGTATTATGCTGAGAAAGCAGGCATTTTTGGTACAAGGTCTTTAATATCCAATATGGTGTTAAATGAAATAAATAAAATGATCAAAAAAATAAGACTTTTAAAAAATAATTTCACAGTTAGCAATCAAAAGCATTTAATTGTGTATTAGGTAGGTTTTTGTTGTTGTTGTTGTTGTTTTTGGTCGTTCGTGGGGCTTGAACTTTGGGCCTGGGCGCTGTCCCTGTGCTCTTCAGCTCAAGGCCAATGCTCTGCCACGTGAGCCACAGTGCCACCTCCGGTTTTCTAGTGGTTTATTGGAGATAAAAGTCTCATGGACATTCCTTGCTGGGGCTGGCTTTGAACCATGATCCTCAGATCTCAGCCTCCTCAGTAGCTAGGATGACAGGCATGAGCCACCGGCGTCCGGCTGTGTTAGGTAGTTTTGTCTTTTTTGTTTTACTTCAGAATTTTTCTGATGATTACATATTAAATTTATAATAGGACTAATATGCTTTTTTAGAAATTGGGATATTTATAAAGCAAAATTTCGGTTACAAGCAAGTACAATAAGAGAGTACAACAGAATTTCATTGAGCGGATAAGATCTAGGTAGGGCATTATCACAGGATTCTGTAAATAAATATAGCTGTGAATAAAACCAAAGTCCAACCTTTTGTGTGGCTTCTGTTCTAATAGGTGGGGCAGATAATAAAACTGACATATCCATTCTTCTATAGTATATATGCCAGAAAGAAAATTAATAGGAAAGGACATAAGCAGTCAAGGACAGAAGATTACAGCTGAAAATAAGGGTACCCAGGGAAGACTTCTTGAGAAACAGGACAATTTAATACATACCAAGTACTTTAGGGAATGACTTGTTTAAATGTCTAGAGAGGAAGAACCTGCAGAGAGGAAGCATAAACAGTCAGGCACACATAGGTATGTTGTATTTTAAGAAAGACAAGGAAATGAATAGCTTGAGCAGATTGTGTGAGCTGGAGCAGATTGTGGGAGGAGATAAATTGTACAGATATATAGGCAACTTAAAACGTTGCCTTTCACCTGGAATATGAAGCCCTAAGAGGTTTTGTGTAGAGGAATGACATGCTCTTAAGTTGTAACATATTCTACCTACTTTTGAGCATATACTGAAGGGACATGAGGGTAGAGGCAGAGAGACCAGTTAGGAGGCTATTGCAATAATTCAGGCAAGGTAGAATGATGATTTAAGTCAAGTTGATAGCAGTTGTGAAGAATGTCAGATATATATGTTAAAGGGCGAGGCAAACATTGGCTGGCATATCAGATAGCAGGTTTTTCTAGAAGAAAAAGAATTGAGGATAATGTCGTTTTTTGCCAAACAGTTGAAGGAATTTATTTGTCATTGATGAAATGGGAAAGACCAAGAAGAACAGATTTAGAGGAAACGAAGTTCAGTTTAAGACAGGTTCGGTTTGAGATGCACAAGTTATTCCAAATACAGCAGTTGTATAATTGTAGTTCAAGGCTAGAGTTCAAGAGAAGAGATATAGTTTGGAGATAATTACTTGGAGATTGACAGTGAACAGATGTGTTTAGAGCCAGATGAGTAGAAGAATCACCAATAGAATTAATATTCGTAGAAAAGAGATTAAAGGTCAGGTGCCAGTGGCTCACACCTGTAATCTTAGCTACTCAGGAGGTTGAAATCTGAGGATTGCAATTTGAAGCTAGCCTGGGTAAGCAGTCCATGAGACTTGTACTCCAACTACCAAAAAAGCTACAAGTGGAGCTGTGGCTCAAGTGGTAGAGTGCTAATCTTGAGCAAAAAAAGGTCAGTGACAGGGCCCAGGCCCTAAGTTCAAGTCCTAAGATTGGCATAAAAAAAAATTAAAAGGATTGAGGTCTAGGTCATTCATTTTTGAGAGGTAGAGGAATATGAGAAGAAATCAGCAAAACAAAAAAGGGAGTGGAGCTGTGGCTCAAAGTGGTAGAGCACTACCTTAAGCAAACAGAAAGCTCAGGGACAGAGCCCTGGCCCTGAGTTTGAATCCCATAATTGACACACAAAAAAAAAACTAAAGGGAGCAGCCAATGCATTAACAGGAGAACCAGGATAGTTTCATCAAGTGAAACACATAAAGTATTTCAACAAGGAAAAAAGAGATTTGTCTGAAATACTGATGATAGGTCCAATAAGATGAGAATTAAGAATTGACTATTAAGTTCTACTTGGGAGGCTGAGATCTGAGGATCACAGTTCAAAGTTAGAAAGTCTGTGAGACACTTATCTCCAGTTAATCATAGAAAAAGCTGGAAGTAGAGCTATAGCTTAAGTGGTCGAGCACCAGCCTTTAGTTAAGAAGGAGCTCAGGGACAGCACCCAGGCTGAGTTCATGCTCCAGGACTGGCAAAAAAGAAAAAAGATTGGCTATTAGACTCTTTGGAAGCATAGTAAGAGCCATTTTGGTGGAGTGTTGAGGTGAAAGCCTGATTTGATTGGATTTAAGGACTTTAGATGTTGACAAATTAGAGATAGTAAATATTGAATATTACTGACAAAATTAGAAGTATCATTAAGGGGAAAATGGTGTTGCTTTTTCAAAGTAAGAATAACTATATTTGTACACTAATAGAAGTGATCTAGTGGAGAAGGAGAAGCAGTGATGCAAAAAGAAATAAGAACTGCCAGTCTTGTACTTTTGAAAAGGCCAAAGGGGATATGTTTCAGAGAATAAATATGGAAGTTAGATTTTACTAAGATTAACTCTGTTTGGGATCCCCAAGACCAAGTGTGACAATTTGTTAGGAGGATTCACTGGATTCAGCATACAATTCTATTGATGGTTACTGTTTATTATAGTGCAAGGATACAAAGCAAAATTAGCAAAAGGCAAGAAGGTATACAGGATAAAATCTAGAGGAAACCCGGTACAGGCTTCCAAAAGTCCTCTCACAGAGGAGTTACATTAAACACTTAAATATATGCCAGAAAATTGTGACACTTAGCATATTGCATGCAAGAAACCCTGGTTAACAAAACAAAACAAACCTTGTTGTCCAAGGTTTTTATGTAGATATTCTCTGCCTAGCAGATACAAAAATTCTAACCTAAAGGATAATAGGTATTTACCAAAAACCATATGATTTCCATTGTTTAGATAGAGTGAGCCAGTCTTTTAGGAAATAGTGGGAAACATTAAATATAAGGTTAGAGTCTACCTTGTATTCAGTCCCCTCTAAAGATAGCAGTCTTAGGCCTACTGTCTTAACTCTTCTGATAAGTAACAGAAGAAAAGGCATGTGTGAAGGACCAGTGTTGGGGGAGATGAATCAGATTTGATAATAGGACTGAGGTTAGAGATAGAAACAAGATTTTTTTTTAAGGTAACACTGAAAAAATTATATAGTCAGTAAAAAATGTAATGCAGACCTATTTTTAAACCCAAATATATTGTAGAGAAATAATTTGTTAGGAAATTCCAGTCTAGTAAGGTAATATTCTTTGTATGACAACTATTATTGTTTTTAATTTTTATATATTATCAGTATTAAATGATCTGTTTTGTAATATCTTGTAAAAATCTAATATTTGGAAGTACGCCAAATATATATCCCTTAGCAACATACAACATAACAATAAACACAATTTTCTAAACCAGAATATGACTCTTAAAATGTCAGTATATAAAACATTACTTATACACTGATCAGAACTATATCTACTTCTGTATCTTATGATAGGTGTTCATATCATTTAAGTTTTCTATTATATAGCTGTTACACAAATAGAAGTATTTTGTATTTTTATTATGATAATAAAACTTAATCATGCCATGATTTTTTTTTAAAACAGGGTCAAGAATTTGCTCCAAAAAGTGTGGCAATAATTGGTCATTCTATGGGTGGCCTTGTTGCAAGAGCATTGCTTACATTGAAAAATTTTAAACAGGATCTCATAAATCTGCTTATTACACAAGCCACACCTCATGTTGCTCCTGTGATGCCATTGGATCGTTTTATTACAGGTGAGTACTCTGACATAGACACTAACTGACCTCTCTGCTTTTCAGGATTAAACAAGCAAATTTTACAGATCTTTCCTAATACACTTACATTGCATGTGGAACACTAAAGTTGAAAATCACCACAATTTAGACCATCCTTAATGTCTTTCACCTTAGGCTTCTAGTTGGAAACCTTGTTAGGTTTCTCTTTCCATAGCTTCTTAACATGGTTGACAAGTGTCTTATAATTACTAGGTAGTAAAATTTAGTTATTCTTGGGAATGATAGAGTGAAGTAGAATAACTGTTGTTCATTCAGCTCTTACTATATTTTGGGTATTATACAAAGGACTGTAGTCCACTTGAGTTAGGGAACATTATTACTCTCATGCTTATAGATAGAGACACTGCCAAGATAAAGTTCTTGCCCAGCCATGTGGCCAAAAAATAAAGAAGCCAGTATTTATTAGGCCCGGGCCGACTTGCTGCTGGTTGGGCTCTTAGCCTTTGTATACTATACTGCTTTTTAATTGAGGTACATTACTGTAAAAATAGAAAATAAAACTGAATAATGTAAAAATAGAAAATAAAACTGAATAATGTCCTGTTTCAGGGAATTTTGAATAGGTTGTAGTAGTTTGTAATTGGTGTCATCTAATCAGATAATGATATTGTCACAAAATGAGAGTTAAATGTTGAGTGAAGTCTTTGGGAGTTTGAGGTCAGTGCCTGGATTACCTACCAAAACCCTGTCTACATAGATAGATAGAATTAAATGCCTACTCTCTCATCTTCTTTTTGAAGTCTTATCTCTATTGCTGCTTGTAATCATATGAGTAAAACATATTTAGAAACGATTCTTTGTCCTACAACTTTTTACCCACAAAATTTGTATTATCTTAATTTTATTGAAAATTTTATTTGATAGAAATGTCCCCTAATGACTGTTACCAAAATAGTTTTGTCAAGTGCCTACCTGAACATCGCCAAGGAATAATTTATTTTCCGGAAGTGATTGGAACTATGGTACTGATATGAAGTCAACATTTTCTGTTACCACAATTTTAACTTACCCTGTAGAAATCTTTTACTAACAAAAGTAAAGGATTAAAAAATTAAAATTAAAATGACTACTTTTAGTATTCATAAATGACTTTAGAATTAGAAAAAAGTCAAAGGCTAATAGTCAAAATATTTGTTGACCACCTTTCCTCTCATACATTTTATATGGTATATGTAGATAAGCCTTGTAGGTTAAGATAGAATTACTCAAACTCCATTTAAAACGATTCTTTGAAAAGTGATTTCATTATTGAGTTTTTACTATTCTGAAGGATAGTGATGGTCCAACTCTAAAGGGCTCAGGCTAAAAGGATTCTTAGGGACAGAATACTTTTCCTCAACATATATAGTGAGCCTCCTTGTTTTTCTCTTTCATTTTTATTTCTTCTTTTATAAAGTCAGATATAGAATTTAAAAGAAATGAGCATAGGTTTGTGAGAGAAAGATTATTTGATTTATAGAAGTGGATTCCATGATTATACTAAGAGGAAATTTTGTTGAGCTCTTTAGTGAGTGGATCTTGTAATACCAAATATTTGAGGACCTGAGTGGGATCTAATGCCACAATAAAAATACATTAAGTTTGCTAGGTGGCTCACACCTGTACTCCTAGCTACTTAGGAGGATAAAATCTGAAGATCATGGTTTGAAGTATGCTGGGGTAGCAAAGTTCATGAGATTCTTTTATTTTTTCCCAGTCCTGGGGCTTGACCTCAGGGCCTGGGCACTGCTCCTGAGCTTCTTTTGCTCAAGGCTAGCACTCTACCATTTGAGCCACAGTGCAACTTCTGGCTTTTTCTGTTTATGAGGAATTGAACCCCCGCCTTCATGCTTGCTAGGCAAGCACTCTACCACTAAGCCACATTCCCAGCCCTAATGAGATTCTTATTTTCAATTAACTACCAAAAGAGCTGGAAATGGATCTCAACTGTCAGCCCTAGTGAAGAAGTTAAGGGACAATGCCCAGGCCCTGAGTTCAGTCCCAATAGTACTGGGGCATTCATGTGTGTATACATACATATGCACACACGCATGTACACGCAAAGTTTGGTGATCAGAAAGAGAAATAATGGGAGCTCCTTTATCCTGGTCTCAATTTAGTAATCTTAAACAATAAAAATTTCTCACTTTCCATAGTTGAAGTGAAAAATGTCTGTAGATTCTTCCCTTTGAATTACTTGCACTTGATGAGTAGGAAGTTAACTGTGACATTTTCTACAGCAACATAGATCTGATACTGTCCTGATTGATTGCATTGTAAGAACTTAAGTACTGTGTGGTGATGGCCATGGTAAAGTTACTAAGCTCTCATATGCAAAGACATTAGGAGAAGTGTTCAGCTCTTTTTTTAAAAAAGCCACTTAATTGTACATATTTAAAAGATATGGTTTGATGGGTTTAATATATGCATAAACTATGAAACAAACACCACAAATTTCTATAATTCTTTAGCAAAATAAATTCATTAAAAGAATTTTAGGGTTTTCTTTCCATGGTAAACTATGTAAAGCATCATCCATGTGGAATGTAGAGACATGTTTGTGTATTGACTTGTAAAAATTGGTAAAATTTGGGTATACCTTTTCTTGTTTATTGATGCCTTAGCAACTCAGTATTTGTACCTTAACTTAGTGGGGGAAGTAGGGATATGTATAATCTCATGATTTTTCTCAAAATAAGGAAATGTGAATAACACATTGTTCATAGGCCAGCTAGTTTAAGCAAAAATTCAGCTAAATATTAGTGTTATAGGCATGGTTGCAGATAAGGGCTATTAAGTTTCAGTATCTGTCTTTTTTATTCTCTACCAGATTTTTATCTGACTGTGAACAATTACTGGATTCTAAATGCTCGGCACATAAACCTGACAACCCTTTCTGTAGCTGGAGGATTCCGGGATTACCAAGTTCGTTCAGGACTGACTTTCCTACCAAAATTAAGCCATCAAACCAGTGCCTTATCTGTCGTGGTAATTATTTTTAAATTCTACTGAAATGATAATATAGTTGACACACTGGTGCATGATGAGAAATAATGTGTAGCTACATAGAAATGACTGCTGAATTTATGGTATAGGTTGGTGCTACATTTGCATCCATCACATGTGTGAGAGAAAATGAATGAGTGAATGAATATGAGTTTATAGGGAGGGCAGAGTTATAGATACTTAACAAGGGTATTAGATACTTGACAAGGGTATTAGAATCACTGAAAATGACTCCTATGAGAAGTAATTATCTCTTGTCTAAAATGAGAGTCTGTTGATTAGAGTTGTAACTATAAGAAAATATGGACAGGTGCCAGTGGCTTATGCCTGTAATCCTAGCTACTCAGAGGCTGAGATTTGAGGATCTTGGTTTGGAGCCAGCCAGGGTAGAAGTTTGTAAGACTCTTATCTCCAGTTAATCACCAAAAAGCCAGAAGTGTAGCTATTGCTCAAGTTGTAGACTTATTAGCCTGGAGCAAAAAAAGCTTAGGAATAGCATCGAGACCCTTAGTTCAAGCCCCAAGACACTCCCTCCCTCCTTCCCTCCCTCCCTCCCTCCCTCTCTCTCTTTCTCTCTCTCAACATACACATATATACACACTAATATATGAACTGAAGCGCACAGCACAAGGGGATATAGTTATATCTCATTGTTATTCTATATATAATAGTGGAAATGTCAAAACAGAATACATAATCCTGAATGTTAACCTTGAGTGTTTGATATTTAACTAGGATTAATAGCCTATGTAAAGTGAGCTCAAGCTTTCTTTTATACCTAACTTTATATCTGAAATCCAAGCTATGCAGGAGGCCATAGGTATGAGGATGGAAACCTGAGTCTAGCCTTAGGCAAAATGTCAGACCTTATCTGAAAAATAACTAAAGCAGCAAAGGGCTGGAGATGTGGCTAAAGTGGTAAACCACCTGCCTAACAAGCATAAGGCCCTGAGTTCAAACTATAGTACTATCAGAAACAAACTTTTCTTGTATACTTGAAAACCTTCAACTAAGATCCTAATTTTTTACTCCATATGTACTTAATCCTTTTTTTTTGTATTGTAAGAATACTGTACAGAGGGGTTACAGTTACATGAGCAAGGTAATGAGTACATTTTCTATCAAGCATTGTTGTCTCCTCCTCTGTTCTGTTTTTCCCCTACCATCCCTTCCCTCCCACCTCCATAACTACCCCCGCCCCGCCCCACTGAAGTTTTAAAGTTCTTTTTCAACATAGTGTTTTGTACATCTCATTGTTACAATGGGTCAGTCTGTATCCTTATTTAAGCATTTTGTTTTTTCCATTCCCCTCCCCAAATTAAAGAAGTGTATACACAAGATTCAGGACACCAACATCAAATACAGTGAAAACAGGTTATACCATGGGGGAGGAACGTACAAAGAAACAAAAAAAAATCACATGGTACATTATAAATACGTTAGAGGGCTGGGAAGGTGGCTCAGTGGTAGAGCGCTTGCCTTGCATGCCTGAGACCCTGGGTTTGATTCCCCAGCACCACATAAGCAAAAAGAAAAAAGCCAGAAGTGGTGCTATGGCTCAAGTGGTAGAGTCTTTCCATTTCCTAACAAATGGGGCAATGTCATTCTTTCTGAGGGAGGCATAGAATTCCATTGTGTATATATACCACATTTTCTTGATCTATCTACTCATCTACTGAGGGGCATCTGGGTTGGTTCCATATCTTAGCTATGGTAAATAATGCTGTGATAAACATAGTTGTGTTGGTAGCCTTAGTGTGGTCTTGTTTGTGATTGTTTGGGTAAATGCCCCAAAGACGGATTGCTGGGTCATAGGGGAGCTCTATGTGGAGTCTTTTGAGGAACCTCCATACTGCTTTTCAAAGTGGTTGAACAAGTAGTTTACACTCCCACCAACAAATGCACTTATTTCTATATAGCTAATACTGAAGAGAAAAATCTAGATTATGATCTTGTTTTTGAAGAAACAGTGTTAGAAAGTCACTGTTGTGTAGCTGTTCCTGTTCATAGATCACCCTTTGCTCATTCTTTTCTTATTGTTCAAAACTACTGTGCATTCATTCAGTGTGTACCATACAGAGAGCAAAACAATGGTGCCGTTCTGCTATTGCCCACCATTTTTCTTCTATATGGAAAAGTTAGGATATAATCAGAATAGCTTCATAACTGAATTGGTAAATTTCTCATAGCTCATTATTAGTATTATTAATATTGTATTTGGTTGTGAATATTTTGGATGTTTGCTGGAAGTCTTCAAAAACTGTCAACTCTGTAGTAAACATAGACAATTGTATAGGCCATATTTTCCATACTTGATACTAGTCTTGAAACTTAACTTTTAGAGAACTTTGGCCATTTTTTAATCTCCACACACTCAGTTGTATGTTTTCTCTAATCCATTCTTTTGTTTGTTTGTTTATTTGGGGGGCTTGAACTCTGGGCCTGGGTGCTGTTCCTGAGCTCTTTCAGCTCAAGGCGAGTACTATACCACTTGAGCCACAGCACCACTTCCGGTTTTCTGGTGGTTAATTAAAGTTAAGAGTCTCACGAACTTTCCTTGCCCAGGCTGACTTTGAACCATGATCCTCAGATCTCAGCCTCCTCAGTAGCTAGGATTACAGGTGTGAGCCACCGGAGCCCAACTTTCTAATCCATTCTTTAATTCATTTCTCTAATCCATTGTCTAATCCATCTAATTTGGATTTCTGCATTTCTCAGGAAAATATTCTACACAACCTTCTCAAAGCCTATTATATATCCTAGCTTGTGTGTGTGTGTGTGTGTGTGTGTGTGTGTGTGTGTGTGTGTGTGTGTGTGTGTGTTTAGCCCCCAAATAAGCTACAACCTTTTGTATGTCTACATATGTGCTCACTTTTATTTATTTTGGCAGTTCTGGAGGTTGTCCTTAGGGCCTTTGCTTACTATTTGAGTCCCCAGTCCTTTTTTCTTTAGGTAGGGTCTCCAATTTTTGCCCAGGGCTAGCCTTGGACTGTAATCATCTTATGTACAATGCCCAAGAAGGTACAGTTACAGATGTGAGTCACCATGCCTTGTCATCTTTTCTTAAGTGAGCCCATATAACCCATTTAAGAAAAAGAAAAGAGTTTGAAGTTTGGTATTGATATTCCTCCAGTACTGTTCTTTCTGCTTTTCTGTTTTTGCTATTCGGGGGGGTCTTTTAGTATTCCATATGAATTTAAAAATCAGAGATGGAGACCATAATTGTATTAGAGTAATCTACCTAAACTTCTGTAATATACTTCGACACAGGTAATGGCATTTCAATACAAGTGAAGTTTATTTTCCTAGGAGAAGGGTTACTCAGGTTAGTGGATAGTTTCTTCTGTTCAGGGACTCAGGCTTACAGCAGTCATTGTATGTTGAATGCTTTACTTAAAGGTCACTTTCGTCATTACCAGTTCAACCCATTAGGGGAAAGAAAGAACTTAGGCAAAGGCCTTGGGCCTAGAAGTGGTATACATCATGTCTACTTACATATCATTAGAGGAAATAGTTACTCCTTAAAACAAGAGAGGTCAAGAGAGGTACGCATGACATTTGTGTTAAAAAGAAGAATGAGCTAGATGTAGTAGCTAATGCCTGTAATCCTAGCTACTTGGTAGGCAGAGATTGGGAAGTATAGCATTTGGAGGCCAGTCTAGGCAAAAAGTTTGTGAGACCTTGTTTCAACCAGTAATTGGCTGTGGTGATGCATGCCTGCCATCCTAAGCTAAATAGGATGCATATGAGGATTGTGGTCTAGGCCAATCTGGGCATAAACTGTATTAGCCCATATCCTTAAAGCTCCAAGGGCTTAGGATGTAGTTTGGTGGTAGATACCTTCCTTGCAAGCTTGATGCCCCAAGTTCAACTCTCAGTATTCAAAAATAAAAAATAGAATGCATTTTGGTAAACATGTCACATTTTTCATCACAATTGACATAACCAGTTACTACCTTGTATGTGTACGTGTGTGTGCATGCATGTGCACATGTGTATGCATGTTGCTTTTCCTTAACTTGAGGAAAATCAACTAATTCTATGTTTTTATAATGGTAAATACAGTTTTATAGAGTGGATATTCTACTAAAAATGTAACATAATCTTATAACCATGGTACTTCTGATTTTTTTCCCCAATATTGGGCTTGAACTCAGGGCCTTACATTCTAGCTTGGCTTTTTTGCTGAAGGCTGGCGTTCTACCCCTTGATCCATGACTCTAATTCTGGTTTCTTGCTGGTTATTTGGAGAAAAGAGTTTCTCAGACTTGTCTGCCCAGGTTGGATTTGAACTGAGATTCTCAGATTTTAGCCTCTTGAATAGCCAGGATTTTAAGTGTGTACCACCAGTGTCTGGTTTCTATCTGATTTTTTTAGTAAACCATCAGCAGTAACTTCTCAATCTATCAAGTGATTTTAAATTTAAGTAAGCTATAGACTTTATTCACTTTAGAAACTAGAACCTAAAGATATTTTTTTACAGAGTACAAGAATGGCAATGATTCCTTGGACTTATACATACTGTTTTTGTTCTTCTATTAAAGAGGCATTTTAAGCCGGGCACCAGTGGCTCACGCCTGTAATCCTAGCTACTCAGGAGGCTGAGATCTGAGGATTGCGGTTCAAAGCCAGCCCGGGCAGGAAAGTCCGTGAAACTCTTATCTCCAATAAAACACCAGAAAACCAGAAGTGACACTGTAGCTCAAGTGGTAGAGCACTTGCCTTGAGCTGAAGAGCTGAGGGACAGCTCTCAGGCCCAGAGTTCAAGCCCTATGACCAACAACAACAACAACAAAAAAGGCATTTTAGACCTCTAATTTTTCTTGCATCCTTGCTGTTAGTCTTCTGTGTTTTTATTCTGCATTGACAGTTCTGATAATGACAGCTCATATATCTTTGCTGGTGCAGAAAGATGTCATGAAGAACAAAATTAAATTCTATGTAAAAAGCTATTTACAGAAAAGTCATTAGGTGGTATGAAAAGATACCATTTTGAACGGTAATATGCCTTTCTTGGAAAGCCTTCTGTGTGGATTACTGGCATTCAAGCTTATGTGTAGGTTACATTTTTGTAAGACTATCATTTTAACTTAATATATCATTTTGAAATACCTACATATCATAAGATAGCAAAATAATGCTATGCGTTTCTAAATATTCATTTATAAGAATTTTATGAACTTTCAAAGAGTAATAAATGTACTTGAGTTTAATTTTTTCTCTTTCCTTTTAGAGTTCAGCAGTGCCTAAAACTTGGGTCTCAACAGATCATCTCTCCATTGTGTGGTAAGTTAATGTAACTTTTTTGGCAATTTGTCATGGTCCTTTTTTTCTCATCAGTGCATCTACTTATTTATTAGCTTTCTTAGTACTTGATTCATTAATGAATTTGTCTATGGGAAAAAGATTAATATAAGGGCTTAGAAGTGTATATTTGGTTCTTTTTTTATAGATAGCCAAGATTCCATTGGCAGTCTATAACCCTTGACAATCTATAACATCATCTCTTAAAAAAACCACTTGTGCTGGGTGCCAGTGGCTCATGCCTGTAATCCTAGCTACTCAGGAGGCTGAGATCTGAGGATTGTGGTTCAAAGCCAGCCCGGGCAGGAAAGTCCGTGAAACTCTTGTCTCCGCTAAACCACCAGAAAACCAGAAGTAGCGTTGTAGCTCAGGTGGTAGAGCACTCGCCTTGAGCTGAAGAGCTGAGGGACAGTGCTCAGGCCCAGAGTTCAAGCCCCATGACTGCCAAAAAACCCCCCAAAAAACAAAAAACCAGTTGTATCATCCCAAATGAAGCTAGCATCAAATACTAAAATTTTAATGTGTCAAAGTTGGGTAGAGTCAATTGTACTCCTTGTGGAACTTTTTGGGAGCCTAGCCAATTATTATTACACAGATGTAGTTAATACAGCCATGACTGACCTGAGCAGCAGTGCATGAGAATCAACTATGAATTAGGTTTATTCTTAATATAGGTAAAGTGTAAGAGATTAAATGTGGGTAAAGAAGTATAGACTTAGTGTCTACCTCCATGTGTTTCAGACTAAAGATTTTCTTTTGACCTTTCTCTGGCTGTGCAAGCAGTCGTGTTTGTAAGAACTACACAGTGCAGCATATACAAATGGGACAGACTCAGAAATGACAGAAGGTCATTTCTACTGTCAATCATCCAGAAAGATTTAATTTGCTTTATTTCATATGGTTACTAAGAATGATAGTTACTATTTATTTCATAACATTGAAAGAAACATGTTTCATTAAATAATATAATTTTGCATACTGGGATCAAAAGCAGGTGTTTCAATAAAGTTTCTTTTGCAATACTTTATTCTTTAGGTGTAAACAACTGCAATTGACTACAGTTCGAGCATTCTTTGACCTTATTGATGCTGATACTAAACAAGTATGTATTTTTTAATTAAAATTGTTTTAGCAGTTGAAAGCTTTTTTTCATGCTTCCATAAATTTATTAGCTTTTTGAGAGTTTATAAAAAAAAGTCTTCAAACAAACTAGAATCTTCCATCAGTTCCAGCTAAATATGTACTCACAGTTCTTGTATCCACCAATTCATGTTTATAATGGGCATTCAAGAATCCCTCTCCCTTGATAGCTTCCAACTTTTCTTTTTTCCGTCATTTGAGTCACTCCCCAGCCCTTTTTTCACAGGTAATGTTTGCCGTAGGGTCTCATTTCCTACCTAGGCACATGTCTGAGCCAAGATATGCCTACCTTCGTTTGGCTTCTTGTCCTTACTGGAATGATAGGCACATAACCACCATGTCCAACTTCCCTATGTGGACTTCTTTGCTCTGGCTGGCTTGGAACCTCAGTCCTTTCACTCTTAGCCTCCCATTCAGCTTGAGATGACAGACATATGCCATCTTGTCCAGCTATGGTTTGATAAGGGTTCTGGAAAATTTTTACCTGAGCTGTCCTTGAACTATGGTCCTGTTCTCAGCCTCCCAAGTAGCTAGGAGGACCCACCTATGTTCACCAAAGTGCAAGTTTTTCTTAAAGCAATGATAGATTGAATGCATTTTGTTATTTTGATATAGATAGAAGCCTCTATCTTATTTCAATTTTAATTAGCTCTGAAATGAAGATCTTTATTTTTTTCTGATAACACTTTGACCACTGTTATAGTTCATAGACTGTCATGGAAATGTGAAAGGTTACATTAAATCTTAATTCAGTTCTTTTTTTTTTTTTTTTGTCGGTCGTGAGGCCTGAACTCTGGGCCTAGGCACTGTCCCTCAGCTCTTCAGCTCAAGGCTAGCGCTCTACCACTTGAGCCACAGCGCCACTTCCGGCTTTTTCTTTTTATGTGGTGCTGAGGTATCAAACCCAGGGCCTCATGCATGCAAGGCGAGCACTCTACCACTGAGCTACCTTCCCAAGCCCCTTACCTCAGTTCTTATACTGTTTAAAAGTTTGAAACATGTTGTTCTAGCTTTAAATATATATATATTATTATTTTTTTTTTCTGGCTGATCCTAGCCTTGAACTCAGGGGCTGGGTGCTATTCCTGAGCTTCTTTTGCTGAAGGCTAGGGTTCTACCACTTAAGTCAGAGCTCTGACTTCTGGCTTTTTTTGTGGGGGGAGGTAGTTTATTGGAGATAAGAGTCTCATGAACTTACTTGCCTGGGCTGGCTTTCAACTGCAATCTTCAGATCTCAGCTTCCTGAGTAGCTAGGATTATAGACATTAGTTATCAGCATCCAGCATTCTTCTAGCTTTTACTTTTAACTTAAGAGAAATACTTACTAGAAACTACTTTATGGCATTTTTTCTTAGTAATGTATCATAAACATCTTAATCTAACTTATTAGATACTTTTGAACCATGTTTTTAAAACATGTTTTTGGCTTTCTGATATGATCAAAATATATACATCAAGTCCTTAAATTGTGTAGTTTTGCAAGTTTATTTTTTTCTTGATGAGATTTCACAGGATACATTTTCAAACTAGAAGAGCTCAATTAACAGCACAAATAGAAATCATCCTGTTTATAGAACATCATGTTACTCTTCGCTTTCTTGCCTGCTAGCAGACAGCGACAGGCACCAACTATTTCAGCAGCAGAATTCTTATTTACTTTTTTTCCCCTGTGAATTAGGAATCAATTACCATTTTTTTTTCTTAAACAGTCTGCCTTGGGTCATCTTGCAGAATATTACTATTACTTAGAAATATGTTTTGAGAACTATACTCTGGTTTCTTCTTTTGGAAAATAAAGTATAAAGTTGTAGGTTTTTTGGTTTTTGTTTCTTAAGATTGAGTACAACTAGATATAATAATAAAATTGATTAAAAAGTGGAAGAACAGTTTATATTGAGGTTAACATTTGGTAAATTAGGAAAAACTAAACCGGAGTACCTCAGATAGAAATATATATTCTTTTAAAAATTATGCAAAAAACTAAACCAAACCATGTTTTTGGAGTAACTCCACAGATGAGAAAACTTTAATACTAGTACATAATAAATTTTTATTCTTAGTGAATATAGATAGGTAAATAGTCTTGAGCTCTGGGCCTGGGCACTGTCCCTCAGCTCTTCAGCTCAAGGCTAGCACTCTACCACTTGAGCCATAGCACCACTTCTGGTTTTCTGGTGGTTTTTTGGAGATTAGAGTCTCATGGACTTTCCTGTCCAGGCTGGCTTTGAACTATGATCCTCAGATCTTAGCCTTCTGAGTAGCTAGGATTATAGGTGTGAGCCACTGATGCCTGGCAAATTTTGATGCGTACAGATTCTTAATGCATACAGGTCTTAATACTTTATAGGTATTTTATTTTTGTACCAATAGAGCAGTGTGAACTTGGCCTGTAGATTTGCTTAGTTTTTTCTACTCAAGGCTGGTGCTCTACCATTTATTTTTTTTTTTTGATTTTTCATGAAATTTTTTTTATTGTAAAGATACTATACAGAGGGTTACAGTTACATGAGTAAGGTAATGAGTACACTTCCTATTGGTACTCTACCATTTAAACCACACCTTCACTTCCAGCTTTTTGCTAGTTAATTGGAAATAAGTCTCAGTTTTGTCTTCTGGGCTTTGAACTGGAATAATCATATCTTGCCTCCTGAGTAGCTAGGATTATAGGTGTAAGCCACTGGCACCAGGCTACTTTATAGAAATTTTAAAATGCAAATACGGAGTTTTTAGTAACTATACTGAAAAGACTCAAAAATACTGTTTATGAGACATTATAAATTTAAGTTCTGTTGAGCAAACTTAACTAGAGCTATTTAATGTCTTTTTAATTTAAATTTTATTGTAAAGATGATGTACAGAGGGGTTATAGTTACATAAGTCAGCTAATGAGTACGTTTCTTTTTGAATAGTATTGCCCCCTCCCTCATTTTTTCCCAGTTTTCCTCCTCCTGACCTCTCTCCCCCAAGTTGTATAGTTCATTTCCAACATAGTGTCTAGTATCACTTCTGAATTGATTCACCCTTTATCCAGCCATTTCTGTGCTTACCCCTTCCCCCAAATCTGGTAAACTTATATACATAACAAGGAATACATTAAAACCAAAGGAAAAAAAGGGGGGGAAGCACAATTGCACACAATACAATAAAAAAAATCCTCTTGTTTCCATTTCTTGGAGTTTAATTCCATAAGCATCATTTTATATGATCATACGCACATAGCTATTGAGCCATTGTGAGCCTCTCCTAAGAATATCCTCCTTTGTTCTCAATGTGTGAATGTTCAGAATGCTGTTATATTCATGTTCTGATAGTCTGTTAATCCAGGGCAGGAAACCTTTTTTCTTACAAGAGCCATTTAGAGTGTTTGACCTTAGCTAGTACTGAAATTTTTTTGCTGTAAACAAGACTTGCATTGGCCCAGCCAGACCACATAATTTCAGCATCCTTGGGCCATATATAGTTGTACCTCTGCCCCAGGCAATAAAACAAACAGCTTACACAGTTCTGCTTAACTATAGGTGGTATTTGTGTCCATGGATAGATACCACAGGCACAGATTCAACCAAACACAGATTGAAGAAATTTTGGGGAAAATTTTTTTTACACAAAACTTTTCATTGTTCTCTAAACCTAACAAAACTTTTCATTGTTCTCTAAACCTAACAGTATACCAATTATTTATGTAATGTTTACATTACACTAAGTAATGTGTAAGTAATCGAGAGACTAAAGTATATGGAGGGATGTACATGGATGGGTTATATACAGATGCTACTAAGCGACTTGAACATCTGCATATTGTGGTGTCTGATGGGGAGGTCGTAGAGCCAGTCCTCCATGGATACTGTGTGCTTAGTGGACTGAATACCAGAAAAGTTTAAAATGAAGCTATAATTCCTTATTCTGAAGCATGTAGTCTGGAGGAAAGCAGAACATGTACATATGTACAGGACAACTATAACTTAAACCTCATTTAGTTTAATAGATGATGCAAAGGCAAGAAAAGACCCATCCTATACTCCAGTTACACTGATATAGAAAACTATATCATGTTTCATATTCCACATTTTAAGGAGAACATCAGTAACCTTGAATTTATCCAGAGGAGGAAATCAAGATAGTGAAGGAAATACTTCTAAAAAAATTCCATAAAAGAGTTGATGTGCTTAAAATTGCTTAATCTGCAGGAGAAATGTTTCATTAGGGGACATAATAGTGTCTCAGAGTTTCTGAAGAATCATCCTCTAGTCTAAGATACCAGATTAACAAGGAGTTCTTGAGTTACTCTGACTAAGGTAGAGCATTCTCCTGGTAATAGTTGTTCAGATCACAATGTTCTGTCTTATAATGTGGCAAGTTAGAAATGCTCAAGCAAATAATGGGCTGAAAAAAAAGGGTTGAATAGTGATTGAATACAAGTGAATTTTATATCCTAGTACACTTTTTTTTTTAAATTAAAGGAAAGAGCTGATAAGTTGTCAGCTTTCTATTGTTAGGATAAAAGAAAGAAGAAAGAGAAAAATTTTACCAATCAGTTAAGAACAGGAGTATTTCAGATAGATGTTTTCCTTTGAGATTTGTACTTAAGGTTAATTTTACTAAAGCCTTTTTTTTCCCTGTTGCTAGTTCATAATATCTCTTAAGTTTCCTTTGACTCTGTCTTTTTTATGCTGAGAGGGACTGAACCTGGAGCCTTACACATGCTAAACAAGGGCTCTCCTATTTAGCTGTATCCCTAGCCCTTGTTTTTTTCTATATATATAGTAGGCTGGCCTTGAACTCATTGTTTTTCTGCCTACGCCACCCAAGTGATTGGGTGACAGGTATGTGTTATCATGCCTGACTAATTTTGTACATCTTTATAATGTTTTATTTCTGTTACTTGAGACATATTATTGCACAATGATTAAAAGGATGGATATCTAGAGCCAATCTCAATTCTTTTTAATAGCTGTATACCTTTATTTCTCTCTGCCTTAGTTTCTTCAAAGTTAAAATTCAGAGTTCTTGTTATGATTAGAGCCATTGACATGCTAAGGGTTTACAAAAGTGCCTGGCTCAGAATAAATGTTGAATTTGTTATTATTACTTGAAACATTATTGAATAATTGAACTATCGTGATGTCAAATGATGCAGAATATGCCATCATTCTTCTAGATAACTCAGAATTCCAAGAAGAAATTGTCTGTTTTGAATCACCACTTTATAAGACACCCAGCAAAACATTTTGAGGAAAATCCAGCAATAATTTCTGACTTGACAGGTTGGTAGCGATAATATTTTAATTTTAAACAGAGTTATTCGTTATTGTTTTAGCTAAGCTTGTTATTAGCAGAAAGTCTTGAAGCTTTGGCACTTGAAGTATTATCCTTGTAGTTTTTCTAATTTACCTATCATGGATGCAGATGTGGTTCTTGGTATGATAGGGAACTATATTAATCATTAATGAAAAGCAAGTTGTAAGATGCTGATACGAATTTGTACTGTAACTAGACAGCTTTTAGAGTTAAATGTCACCATTTTTCTATCAGAAAATTGGAATTATGTTGTGGGTAATACTTTTCAGTTTCTTAGTTCCATTATTTTCTCAATCTTCTTTTGGATTATGAGCTTATCTTTTGCTGATAACTTTTGTTTTTTAAAATAATACTTATTATATGTTAATTAAATATCTTGGGAAGTATAATGTTTATTTCTACTCATAATTTCTTAAAGAAGCAAAGTAGATTTATAATACTTAGATACCTATTGCTAGTGGGTATGTTCTTTTGTATATGTTCTGGTACTGGGGCTTGAATTCAGGGTCTGGGTGCTATCCTCTTAGCTTTTTTGTGAGTCACAGCTTCACTTTGGACTTTTTTCCCCCTGGTTAGTTGGAAATAAGAGTCTGATATGCTTTTTCTAACTGGACTGACTTCAAACCATGATCCTCCTCAGCAGCTAGGATTACAGGCATAAATCACCAGTGTCTGGCTAGCAATTTTTTTATTTATAACATCCAATTGAAAAAAACCGCTGCTTTTTTAGTAACAAAGATTTCATCAAATTCTAAAACAATTACCTAATATGAAAACAAAACCAGGTAAATAAGAAATTTTCTTTACTTTAAGGGACATCTATGTGGGTTCCAGTAAAAGTGTCCAGATGGACCTATGTGGCTTACAATGTAAGTATTCCATCAATGGGTTTTTTTGGTTTTTTAATTCATCGTTTTTTCTTTGGGTAGTACTGGGGGTTGATCTCAAGAGTCTTACACTTGATAGGCAGGCACTTCACTTCCTGAGACATGCCCCACCCCTTTTTGCCTTTGTTATTTTACCAATATGGCCTGAACCAGCCAGAACAGTGATTAGGCTATTTATATATCCCAAGTGGCTAGGATGATAGGTACACCACTGCATCTAGCTACTGATTGAGAGACTGAATGACATGGCTTTTAAGTTTTTACCTTTGCTGGCCTTGTGCTTTGACTATTATAATCCCTTCCTGCTAAATAGCTAGGATTACAGGTATGAGCCATTAATACTTGGTTATGGTATTTAAATACTATAGTATTTCAACAACTAAATGAAAAAGAAAAATAAATTATTGATGAACTAGAAAAACTGAACAATAAATGCTATAAATAATATAGTATCTATCAACAGATAAATTATATATTTAAATACTATAAAATTATAATTTTTAATTCATTTCTAATAAATTTATAATTTTATAGTATTTATGATAGTAATTATCCTTTGATAAATACTGTAAAAAGATACATTATTTTTCCATAATTTAATAATTCCTTAATAGTAAATGCCTATTCATTTTTTTTGGCCTTTTTTAATATATATATTTTTATTGTAAAGATACTGTACAGAGGGGTTGCAATTACATGAGTAAGGTAATGAGTACATTTCCTATCGAGCATTGTTACTCCCTCCTTTGTTTTTCCCCTACCATCCCTTTCCTTCCACCTTCCCAAATCCTTTCCCTCCCTCCCAACCCTGAAGTTGTAAAGTTCATTTTCAACAGTTGTAAAGTTCGTTTTCAACAGTGTCTTGTACATCTCATTGTTACAATGGGTCAACCTGTATCCTTATTTCAGCATTTTGTTATTTTCTTTCCCCTCCCCAAATTAATTTTATCGATAATTTATTTCTCTTTTTTTCATTTGCTTGTTAGAAAGGCTTAAATATTATTATTGATTGATTGATAAGTTTCTTGTCCTTTTTAATACTTTTTCTTCCTTTATTTTTCCTTGAAACTTACTTGTTGATAAAACTACATTGATTTGTGTTATAGAATTGTTTTTAATGTTTTTTTTTGTTTTTGTTTTTGTTTTTTTTGTCAGTTACGGGGCTTGAACTTTAGGCCTGGGCACTGTCCCTCAGCTCTTCAGCTCAAGGCTAGTGCTCTACCGCTTGAGCCACAGCACCACTTCCAGTTTTCTGTTGGTTAATTGAAGATAAAAGTCTCACAGACTTTCCTTGCCTGGGTTGACTTTGAACTTCGATCCTCAGATCTTAGCCTCCTGAGTAGCTAGGATTACAGACATGAGTCACCGGCACCCGGCTTGTGTGATAGAATTTTATATTATCATTGTTTACTTATTTAGTAGTTGTTCAGTTTCAGTTCCATAAGTCAGAGTATTAATACAATGCATCTTGATCAGTGTCACTCCTTCCATTGTTCTCCATTATTCCCCTTCCCATATGATTCAGTTTTTACTTAATGTAGATCAATTATAATGACTGCATTTGCTCACCCTTTCTTCCTCCATTTGTACCACTCCCCTATTCCGTTTCATTGCCTTCCTATACACCTTGATTTCGCTGATTGCATTCCTGTGACCTCATTCAACCTATCCTATGATTTAATAGGTGGATCTAGATACTTAATAAGAACCAGGGTTTTCTTTTGATTTTGTTTTTGCTTGACAGTCTCTTTTTGTGATGCTAGTACTATTAATGGGGAGTATCTAAACTACTAATTTATTTAGGAGGATGCAAAACTGATACTAGCTTATTATTCCTTCAGTTATTAACTGGGAAACTACATAGGAAAAATTTCCTGTCATCTACTAAATTTGGCAAAAGTTGGAGAAATCATAAAGGAAATGAATGATTGCTTGGGGTTTTCAGTTTTACCTTATATTTATTGGTTATCAAACTAGTGGGTTGGTTCATTAATATCCACTGTGAATGACTCTTAGGGGGTTCCTCCCATTGCTACTATGAACTCATGTACTTAAATATATTTGCATTTCATCCCATTGGTACTAAAATTGTTTGACCATCAACAGCCTCTTCAAGTTTGGCTCTGATTCTTTGTTTTTCTTAATAATTTTCTTACTGTCCAAAATGACAGTATGTCAGCTCATTTTGTACATTTAATGCTTTAGAGGATAGATTAACTATTTCTTTAAGACCTTTTTTTCTCTCTTTCTCTCTCTCTCTCCTTTAATGGTACTGAGGATTGAACTAAGGATCTTGTGGTTGCAAGGCAGGCACTCATCACTTAAGCCATATTCAGTCCTTTTTGCTTTAGTCATTTTGAAGATAAGGTTTTGCATTAGCCCAGACCGGATTAGACTTTGATCCTCTTATTTATGTTTCCCACATAACGAAGGTGACAGGCGCAACCACTACATCCAACTATTAACTGAGATGTTATCTCACAAACTGTTCCTGCTGACCTCAAACTGCAGTCTTTCCGGTCACCACTTCCATAGTAGGTAGCTAGGATTATAGGCATGAGCCATCATGCTTATTAGGTGCTGGAACTATTTCTTTTGTTTGGGAAGTGGTATAGCATAACCAAATCTGGCACAAGAGATGTTTATGGTTACTGGGTTGGCATTTCTAGGGCTTTTCAGTAGATAGAATATTTTATTGAAACTGAAAGGTCAAATATCATAAAACAATTTTGTATTACTATTAATAGTTCCAAAATAATTTCAGGACTGCAGAATTTAGATATCATCTCTTTATCTTATGCATCCTTTTCCCTCCATTCTTAAAACATGGGTTTTTAATAACACTAAGAATAGAATAAGTAATCATTTGATTTATATAATTTTTTTCTTTGGGTTGAACTCAAAGCCTTGCAGGTGCAAGGCAGGCACCACTTCTGAACATGTCTCTAGATCTTTCTCTATACATTTTGAGTGATGAAATTATGTACTCCTTACATGGTTCTAAGTATTGAATATAGTATTGAGTGTTCTCTTTCTCTTTTAGGAATCTGATAAGATATACTTTACATTTCCTCTTGAAAATCATAGAAAAACCTACACTCATGTCTACTGTCAGAGCACCATGCTGGTAAGATAATTGCAATGTTTTATGTAAGTTTGAAAGATTGTTATTCAAATTTTCAATTTTCGACTAGTATCTAATTGACCTAGCTATTAACTGTTACTATTAAATTAAACTAATAGAATATGTTTATACCCATGTATTGGTAGGAAAGTATTAATTCCAGAAATTTTTCTGTAACTGAGAGTATAGTACTTTTATTTCTAATTTTGATTTTCACATTTGTTTTAGTTTCACTGTATTCAGGATAAAGGGATTGAATTTAAAAAATCTCCTTAATTCTGAAGCTCCTAGTATTTTAAAGAATAAGCATACTTAAGTGAAGTTCTTTCATAGGATTTTGTAAAATGAATTCTGATTTTCACTAGCTTGCATACTAGAATTTGAGGTATTTTTGATACTCAGTATTTTTTTTCCTCCCTATACTTGTCCTAGAGGGCCTGTAATGCTATCCCTGAGCTTTGCACTCCAGTACATGAGCCATAGCTCTACTTTTGGCGTTTTGATAGTTAATTCGCAATAAGAATCTCACAAACTTTCCTGCCCAGCCTGTCTTTGAACTGAGTTCCTCAGATCTCAGCTTCTTAAGTAGCTAGGATTAGGCATGAACCCCTGGAGCTTGGCTGATACCAAATATTCTTGAAGACAGGAGAGTCACTGTACAATACAATCTAGACATACAATATCAAAGTAATGATTTATGTTTCTTTTTAACAACCACTGTGATAGATATTGTTTGAAAAACTATTGGATGCACATATACTAAAGTGGGAATGATTCAGAGGAAATTGGCATTGCTCTTGTGAAGAATGACATATAGATTTGTGAAATGTTCCATCTTTTTTAACATGTTAGATGCTGTAGCACACTTTGTGTTTGTACTAGAAATGACTAATTAATAGTTTCATAATTTGCTGTCATTGCTTACCTTAAGGATTTTTTCCTCTGCAATGTTGGTTATTTTTCCTCTGTTATGCATTTTATTATTTGGTCTATGTTTCAGGATTCTTCACTTTATTTGCATCTTTCATAACTTTATTCCTTCTCTATTTTATTAGTTTTTTTGTGATTTTTTTGTACTATTTATTTATTTACTTTTGGGGGGTCCGGTCGTGGGGCCTGAACTCTGGGCCTGGGCACTGTTCCTCAGCTCTTCAGCTCAAGGCTAGCGCTCTACCACTTGAGCCACAGCGCTACTTCTGGCTTTTTTTCTTTTGCTTATGTGGTGCTAGGGAATCGAACCCAGGGCCTTAGGCATTCAAGGCAAGCGCTCTACCACTCAACCACCTTCCCAGCCCTGTACTATTTATTTTCTTGAGATCAGGTTTTGCTATGTTGGCCTTCATGAACTTGAGATCCTCTTCCCTCAGCCTCCTGAGTAACTGGAATTATAGATATACACCACCAGGCCCAGTTTGTTTATATCTTTTAGAAGCCAGATCTAGGATAGCACTTGACTGGTAGATATTGCCATCTAATACATAGTATATAGGATAGTAGTCAGTCATTTTAGTTATAATGCCAAAGAATACTATCTTTTAATGAAATTACAAGGAGAATCTGACCCTGAAAGTGGTGGTTTTAAATATCCACATTTACTTAATATTAATAATCAAGTTATGGGTTATATTGAGAACAATATTTGCCAAAGTATTAATTACCCATTTGGCTGATGCAAGATTCCCTTTTGTATATTGATGTCTGTGAGTATTAGTGAACCATTAAGTAATGTGGTGAATTGAAAAAAAAATGTTTCTGGATGAGAATGTGGCTTAGTGGTAGAGTGCTTGCCTGCCATGCATGAAGCCCTAGGTTTGATTCTTCAGTCCCACATAAACAGAAAAAGCTGGAAGTGGCACTGTGGCTCAAGTGGTAGAGTTCTAGCCCTGAGCAAAAGAAGCTCAGAGACTGTGCCCAGGCCCTGAGTTCAAGCCCCAGGACTGGTTAAAAAAAAGTTTTCAAATTTATTGTAAAAGTAGAGTGAAAGTACAGAGATGAATACCCAATTTTAATCATTATCAACACTCTACTACTCTTCATTTATTCTTCACACATTTTTGGTCTCAAGCATTTTTAAAGTAAACTCAAGGCACTTTATTATTTCACTCATAAATAATTCAATGTTTTTTAATCAGATACAGGTTTTATATATGATGTTAACATTATTTCATCTAACAGATTAAGTGTAATTACTTTATGTCATTGATAACCAGTTCACTAGATTTAATTAACCAAAGCTAATTTTCCTTAGCTCCTCTAAATTTTATATTAAATTATTTGAGTCAAGATCCAAACAAAATGTATGCATTATCTTTATTTTTTATGGATTTTTAGGTCTCTTATAGTAATAGTTTTCTGTAAACTACTCAAGAAAATGGATTATATCTTCCATAGAATTATACTCTGAATTTAGTCAAGTGTGAGTATTAATTCTTTTGAAGGGTCAGGGGAGTACTTGTGCTTGCTAACAGGCTCTCCACCACTTGAGCCAGACCTCTAGCTCCTTTTTGCATTGGTTATTTTTGAGATATGGTCCTGCTTTACTTATGCTCCCCCACATAGCTGGAGCTGACAGATGTATGCCGCTGCACCCAGGCACTGTGCTTACCCCAATAACTGGGTAACAGGGATGTGCCACCATGCCAAGGCACTGGTTGAGATGGAATTTCAGGTATTTTTATGTCCAAGCTGGTTTCAAACTTCAGTCATCTGCCTCTGCCTCCCAAGTATCTAGGATTATAAGCTTGAGTTTCTGTTGTTGTTGGTGGTCATGGTGTTTGAACTCCGAGCCTTGACGCTGTCCCTCAGCTCTTCACCTCAGTGCTAGCACCCTACCACTTGAGCCAAGCACCACTTCCAGTTTTCTTGTGGTTTATTGGAGATAAGAGTCTCACGGACTTTCCTGCCCATGCTGGCTTTGAACTGCGATCCTCAGGTCTCAGTCTCCTGAATAGCTAGGATTACAGGCATGAGCCACCGGTGCCCAGCTTGTGTCTTTTAATATGTATCTTTACCACCTATGTTTTTTGTAAGCTGGTAGTTAAGTCTAGATTCTCAATTAGATTTGAATGAACTTTTTTGTTAGTGGGATGTGTGTGTGTGTGTGTTGGGGGCTGTGGGTCTGTGTGTATGTCAGTCCTGGGACTTGAACTCAGGACCTGGACACTGCCCCTAGCTTTTTTGCTCAAGGCTAACATTCTACATTGAGTCATAGCTCCACTTCCAGTCTTTTTTTTTTTGGCGGGGTGGGGAGGGGGGTCCGGTCGTGTGGCCTGAACTCTGGGCCTAGGCGCTGTCCCTCAGCTCTTCAGCTCAAGGCTAGCGCTCTACCACTTGAGCCACAGTGCCACTTCCGGCTTTTTTCTTTTTGCTTATGTGGTGCTGAGGAATCGAACCCAGGGCCTCAGGCATGCAAAGCAAGTGCTCTACCACTGAGCCACCTTCCCAGCCCCACTTCCAGTCTTTGGTGATTGATTGGAGATCAGAGTCTTATGGACTTTCCTCCCCAGGCTGTTTTTGAACTGTAGTTGTCAGATCTCAGCTTCCTGAGTAGCTAGGATTATAGGCATGTGCCACTCACTAGCATCTGGCATGTAGGTGGAATATTTATAAGTAGAATTGTGTACTCCTGTGTCTTGTCAATAGGTACATAAAATCACATTAATGACATAAAGAATTATCAGAAGGTTTAGGTAGTAGCAGCATGATTCATTCATTATAAAGTTCCCAGTCTCTCATTTAATTATTTTAAAGTTTTTTTTGTAAGGAATTAGATCATTTGAATTCTCCCATGTATATATCACACTTTGATTAATACATTTGTGTTTGCTTTCATACAAACCGGTAATATGTTATCTTGTATACTTATAAATTAGATCTAGCTTCTACATATGAAAGAAAACATGTGCTGGATGCTGGTGGCTCACGCCTGTAATCCTAGCTACTCAAGAGACTGAGATCTGAGGATTGCGGCTCAAAGCCAGCACGGGCAGAAAAGTCCGTGCGACTCTGATCTCCAAAACCACTAGAAAATCGGAAGTGGCACTGTGGCTCAAGAGGTAGAGCGCTCGCCTTAGGCTGAAGAGCACAGGGACATGAAGAGCTCAGGGACAGCGCCCAGGCCCAGAGTTCAAGCCCCACAACCGACAAAGAAAGAAAGAAAGGAAACATGTGTCCATTGTTTCTCTGGCCCTCTCTTCACTTAACATAATTTTTTCCAGGTCCATCAATGTCTTTGCAAATGATGTGATATCATTCTTCCTAATGAATGAGTAAAATTCCATTTTGTAGAAGGTGCTAGTGGCTTATACCTGAAATCCTATCTATTCAGGAGGCTGAACTCTGAGGAGCAACAGTTTGAAGCCAGCCCAGACATCTCATCTCCAATTAACCATCAAAAAGCTAGAAGTGGGGGCTGGGAAGGTAGCGTAGTGGTATTGCCTTGCATGCATGAGGCCCTGGGTTTGATTCCTCAGCACCACATAAGCAAAAAGAAAAAAGCTGGAAGTGGCGCTGTGGCTCAAGTGGTAGAGTACTAGCCTTGAGCTGAAGAGCTGAGGGACAGCGCCCAGGCCCAGAGTTCAGGCCCCACGACCGGACCCAAAAGAAAAAAAGCTCAAGGACAGTGCCCAGGCCTGAGTTCAAGTCTCAGGACTAGAGCCCGTGCACGTGTGTGCGCATGCATGTGAACACCCACACACATTCCATTTATATATATATATATATATTTACCACATTTTCTTGATGCACTCATCCATTGAGGGGCATCTGGGTTGTTTCCAGACCTTGACAGTGGCCATGGTGAGCATGGCTGTGCAAGTGTCTTTACTGTGTCCTGGTTGTAATCTTTAAGATAAATGTCCAATGGTGGTATTGCTGGAAAATAGGGTAGTCCTATGTTTAGTTTTTTCGAGAAATCTCTAACTTGCTTTCCAGAATGGTTGTACGAGTTTACATTTTCACCAAAAATGTATTAGGGGTTCCTTTTCCCTCATATTCATCTGTTGTTTTTTGTATTCTTGATGATGGCCATTCTCACTAGGGTAAGATGGAATCTCAGTGCTCTTTTGATTTGCATTTTCTTCATGACCCAGAGATATTGAGCATTTCTTCATGTGCCGGCCATTTTTACTTCTGAGAAGCCTATTTAGCTTATTTGCCCATATATTAATTGGGATGTTGATTCTTCAAGAGTTTTGTTTCTTGAGCTCTTTGTATAGTTGGGATATTGGGACATTGTCTGGTGTATGGCTGGTGAAGATCTTAGTTTCTTGCAGTCCCTTGTCAATTCTATCTTTGATTTGCTGAACCTTTGGAATTTTATTCAGAAAATTTCTTCTTGTGCTGAGTTTTAATGTTTCTCCTACTTCTTCCTGTAATAGTTTCAGAGTTTCAGGTTTCACATTGAGGTATTTGATTCATTTTGAATTGATATTATTACATGGTGGCAGTTTCAGTTTTCTGTATGTGGCTGTCCAGTTTTAATAACATCATATGTTGAAAGATTGTCTTTTCTCTATCCTGCGTTTTTGGCTTCCTCATCAAATATTAGATGGCTGTAGGTCTGTGGGTTTATTTCTGGGTCTTCTGTTGCATTGGTCTTTGGATTGTAAACAGAATCTTAGAACTCTAACATTATTTGATTGGTATCATTTTCTTTCTTGTATACATTGGGAATCAGTAATTATGAGACATCTCATTTTAATTTTTTCAGACAGGGCCTTCCTATGTTATGTGCTGGCCTCAAATTTGTAATACTTCTACTTAAAGCTTCCCATAGTGTTAGAATTATAGATAAGAGCCACCACACCTGGCTTCTCATTAACCATGTCTCTCATTAAATTCTAAGACTTTGAGTACTTGAATTAGTGAAGAGTGTTTTTAAATTAGAGATTTTTCTTTTGACATAGAGGTTATATCAATTGATATATTGGTATACATCAATGGTATACATCAATTGATATATATGTTAGAGTTCTCTATGCCCTGAAGTCAGTTGTGCAGAATATTTCTAACTTTTATGAGATCTACTTTCGGAGATTAACTCCATTAGTAGCTGAAGAAAAAAACATCATAGTCAAGCACCAGTGGCTTACATTGGGATCCTAGCTAGCTGCTCTAGAGGCTGTGATCTGAGGATTGTAGTTAGAAGCCAGCCAGTGAGGAAAGCCTGTGAGACTCTATCTCCAATTAATTACCCAAAAGGCAGGAATTGGAGCTGTGGCTCCAATTTTGAGCAACAAAATTCAAAGATAGCACCCAGGCCCTTAGTTCAAGCTCCAGTACACACATACCTCCTCTCTGTTTTTCTTTCTCTGTCTTTCTCTCTGTCTCTCTTACACACACACACACACACACACACACAGAAGAAGAAGAGAAAGAAGGAGGAGGAGGAGGAAGAAGGAGGAGGAAGAAGATGAAGAAGAAAAAGAGAAAGGAAGAGGAAGGAGGAGGAGGAGGAAGATGAAGAGGCTGGGGATTTAGTTACGTGGCAGAGCACTTGTCTGACAAGTACAAAGCCCTGACTTTGGTCTTCAGCCCTAGGGGAAAACAAAAAACAACGTGGCGAGGGAACATTACAAAAGCGGATTGAATCTTTAGATTGTTAAACTGGTGGGGGAAGGAGGCTATGTAGATCTGTATTTTTGTTTCTTCTAAAGAAAGGATCCCACAATCTGAGGCTAGCTTCAGATTCTCAGTTCTGTCTGAGCCTCCCAGAGTAATCAGGGATTAAGTCTTTTGCCGGTAGTGAAAAGCAAAGAAATAACACTTTTGTTTGTTTCCTATCAGCTGTCTTCTTGGAAAATATCTTTAATTTTTATTCTTGAGAAATGTCTTACATTTTTATTTAAGCCTTGTAAGGCTACAGACTGTTCTTACTGTCTCACTATTTTCCCTGAGGGGTTACTACAGTTGTTCAGCCCTAACATGGGCTTTATCAACATTAGATAAATGAAAAAGATGGATTTCTCCGTTGTTGTGTGTGTGTGTCATTTTAAGGACAGTTACATGTCTGTCTCCAGGACTTCTTATCCTGGCAGGATGTCCATAGTTAGACTAGCACTCAGATATTGGGACATTGTTCTTGCTTCTGTAAATTTTGAAGTAAAAGTTTTAGATGACATTGATTTTAAATTAACCCATGCTAAAGATAGAGTGTTGTGCAAATATAATGGCCTGTTACAGTATATGCTATAATCCTTTCTACTTGGGAGGATGATGGGATGGAAGGTTGAGGCTAGCCTAGACAAACATTCTCAAGACCCTCTCTCAAAAAGCTAGCTGGGTGTGGTAGTTCCCACCTGTAATGCCTGCTACTTGGTACAGGCAAGGTAACCAGATTATAGAGGAGGCTAAGGGCAAAAGATCCTATCTGAAAAGTTAATCAAAACAATAAAGGGCTGTGGGCAAGGCTGACCAGGCAGCACCCAAGGATCCATCACAGTCATCTCTATCACATTCTAAGCCTGCTCCAATCTTGAGCCTTTTGAGTTGTGCTTCAGTGTAAATGCGTCTGTGCTGGAAGTGGCCATACAAGGGGGAAGGTAAAAGAACTGCACTTAAGTTAAGCCCTTTTTTAAAAATAAGCTTGTTCACTTTACATTGTTTTTCATTGCTTAACTCTGCATTTCTCATTGTAAAAAAAATGCGTCCAGGTGCTCATACTTCTGCTTGTTATTACAATGTAGGTAACTATGAAATAACTAAGAAATGTATCCAAAAATTTTGATTGAACAGTGGAAACAGTTTATTCGGTACTATGCTGTTGCTGTCACTGCTGCATTGGGTTAATCGTTACCCATACACCCATGCTGACCCTACACTGACTGCTGTGCCTGTCTGTGACCCAGTCACAAACTGCTTTATGTTTCCCTTGCGCCTTCTCATTCTATCCTAGATATCAGGAATGGGTTGTGGACACTTATTTTACATGGATGCTTACTTCAATATTTTTTATTAATCAACAGGATACAAATAGTTGGATTTTTGGCTGCATAAACAGCACTTCCATGTGGTAAGTCTTTTGAACCAGTGGTTTCCATTATTCAGTCTTCTTAAACAGTGTTTCGAAGTGGCATTTTAGAGGGCACTTTAGAATAACTTCCTATATTCTTCCATGTGTATTATTGCCCTATTATAGTATTGATTTTTAAGTAAAAACTAAAGAAATGATATACTGTTGACTTTTGTAAATATTGAAATGGAAAACACTAAATATACCAGTGATTTTTGTAAACATAGAACTAGTTGATTGCCAGAGGTTTTGTTTTAGTTTGCCAAAGACACTATGTGAACTGAGTATATTAGAGTTCTTAAACTCTGTTTACTATAAATTCCAAGTCTGTAAATTATTTTTCCTCTGAAGCTTACTTTATAATACTTTAACATAATTGTCCCCTAATATGTTATCATGCTTATTTCATAGCCGACAAGGGGTTGACTTATCATGGAAAGCTGAACTGTTGCCAACAATTAAGGTAACTTAAACTTTTGAATTTTCATATTTAGATGGGGAATTAATTGGGCCCATAGGTATTTTAGATGTGATATTATATTAATTTATCAAATTTGATTTGCTAGCCTACATTTTAGATAGTTTTTCTTTAGAAATACATGTGACAAGGAATGACGTGCAGTTAATACATACATATTTTTACTTGCAGAGATTTAAAAAAACTATAAATTAATAACTTTCTGAATCTCTGTTGTGGCACTATACCAGAAGAACTGAGTAGACTTTTTAAAAATAAATTTGACAGTATGTTGACATGACCAATTACTTCAAATTATAACATATAGTACTCAGAATTCATTTTTGAAGTAAGGAGTTGCAGGGAAATGGGAGTCTCAGAAAGACATCAGTATACTGTAATATCATTTTAACAAATAACCAGATTAACAAAGAAAGGCAACAAATGTGGAAATAATATAATTAAATGTATGTTAAATGTCATTTAACTTACATAAAGAAATATTTTAAAGAATATTTTTGGCAGTGCTATTTAACTATTTAACAATAGTTATTAAGCATTTGGGCATTTTGTAATATAGCTGACATAAAATTGAGGTAAGGTTTTTGTTTTGAGGGGTTTTTTTTGGTGTCAGAGAATGAACTAGCAAACTAGGCTTGAGCAGGATAAAATGGTTTTTTTGTGAATGGTGAACTGAACACTATTTATTTTTAAAATGACTTAATCTCTACACTAATAAAAGCTGCTTTTTAATCTCCTTTTTTTAGTTTCTGATGTTAAGACTTCAAGATTATCCATCTCTGTCTCACCTTGTTGTTTATGTGCCTTCTATTCATGGAAGTAAGGTAACCGTGGGTTCAGGTTTTTATTACAGTGTTTTTGGGGATACTCAATAAATTTTATGATGATTTTTGATTAGTTTTTCTGTATAGGGCTTAATCTCAAACAAGGTCATAGGTGATCCTCCTATGACTGTTAAATCATTGGGATGATTTACTCCAACTTGAACTAAGCACAATAAACCCAAGTCTCTCACTTCTAAGTGAGAACTGGTTCCAATTTTCTAGCAATCTTTTAGAATCTATTACTTATGTACTTTTTTGTATAATTTTGCAGAGAAATATAGTAGTAGATAAAACATTTGATAGTGTTACATGTCATCCTGTTGAAAAAGGGGAGAGTGGAAAAAAAAACATAAATATGTATTTAAAAAGCCAGACTATAGCAAGTGCATCAACAGTACAAGAGGGAATTATATCTTTGGTTGAAGGAATCAAGGTTGGCTTTATAGTGAGGTGATATTTTACATGGCCTTTAAGAATAGTTAAAATTTTTATAGTAAGTTAAACATTCCAGAACAGTACTGTCAAAATCACTAGCATGTATGGCTATTTAAAGATAACTTAGTTAAAACGAAACAGAATTCAAAATTCACTTCCTTAGTTGTTCAAGGTCCATTCCAGAAAGTCAGTAGTAATAGCATTGCAAGAGGTTGAAAGGGACTAGCATTTCAAGACAAAGGAACAGTGAAAGCAAAACTAGAACTGTGTGAAAGAATGTTATGTATTTGGAAAACAGTAAATAATTTTGAAAAGATAGTCACCATATAGAGAACAATGCTGGAGAAAAGTCTTGATTAGAAATTCAGGACTTTATAGAATTCAGGAAGCAGAAGGAAGCTAGAAAATTTTTCACCAAAGCAATAATGGATCTGCATCGTTTATTTTGGAAAAAAAAAACTATTAGTGGTATAGAGTGGATAGAAATAGAAAGGCACTAACAAAAAGAGATAAGACGCAAAAAGAAAGAAAAAGACTAGGTACTTCATCAGGGGTTATGAGGGCTTGTCTTGGGAAATGGGTGTCGAAAATAAAAAGATTTTAAGAGTATTTTTTGGGGGGAGGACACAAGGTAGAGTTTAAAAAGCCCTCTGTGCTATACCCTTTCTCCATTTAACCCAGGTAACATTCTTCAAGATCAGACCTAAGAATCCTTCTGTTCCTTTTCCGTACTCCTCCAATAACCTTTTACTCAATACCATATCACTTGGTTTATAACTTTTTGAGAAATTTGTTGCATCTATTATACTTTATTGGCTCATGTTTTTATTACCATCACCATACTGTGAACTCTTTGAGAGTAATGACCACCAGATAAGTTCTATTTTACGTTGTATCCTACATCTTTAGTGACCGTTACATAAAAGCTTGAGGAAGTTACTTGAATGAGAAAATTGATAAGGTTTGTGGGCCAAAATAATTAGAAAAAAATTAAAAGAAATTAGAGAAAGGAAAGGGGGGATGTAATTTGCAGTCATCTCAAAGACTGAATCTCATAAGTACCTTATAATGGATTCATTGTTTTGTTTTGCTTAGCTCAAGTGAGAGGTAATTCAGCATCTTCAATGCTAAAAGCTCTCTTTAAGGGTTTTTCTGTCAGGTAAGTTGGTTTTGAATGAATCTAACATCTTTCCCAAATTTGAAAAGGACTTCTCTGGTTATTCCAAGAAGTTAATGAGTTTTTCTACCAATAGACTTAGCAGCCTAATAAATATGTAATAGCAATATATCTTACTGTTCTTTGGAAAACAACATTGCTGTCTTTACATTTACACAACACTATCTCAGAATGAACTTAGATCTTTCATAATTTTTGCATGATTATGTTATAGTCCATCACCAGAAAGTTGCATACATTCATTTTAGAAATACAAAATGTGGATTTATGGGGTAGGATGATGAAAGGGGTCACATCAATTAAGGCGCATTGCACTTACAAACTGATTGGTTGAATGATAACTCCTTTGTGTAACTACTTGGAGTATAAAACTATAATTTAAAAATATAGATGTACCTTCAGTGTCTTGATTGACAGAAAATAAAAATAAAACTCCCTAGGAAAGCCTGGTACTGATGGCTCACACCTGTAATCCTAGCTACTCAGGAGGCTGAGATCTGAAAATCACAGTTCAAAGCCAGCCCAGGGAAGGCATGAGACTCTTATCTCCAATTAACCACCAAAAAACCAGAAGTTGAGCTGTGGCTCAACTGTCTGAGCAAAAGAGCTCAGAGACAATGCCCAGGCTCTGAGTTCAAGCCTTACAACTGACCAAAACCAAAAAACTCACTAGGGATTTACTTAACCTTGTATGTTTTAGAACCAAACCAAGAAATTCTTTCTTTTTTGAATAAAAACTTACTCCATTATACAAAGCTAGTGGCACAGCCAAATTTTTAAGGCACTAAAGAAGTCTTGTTACTTCAAATACCTGCACAATGGAAATTGCTTTTAAAAACTTCCTGACTCATAACTTACCCAAAATTACTTTGTAAAAAGCCAATGAATAATTCTGTTTAATAAATGATTTCTCTGGCCTTTTAATAGCTGTTTTCTTTAATGAAAAATATCTAATTCCATTCCTTAAAAAAAATGAAAACTGGTCCTAAGGGTCTGGAATAATCCCTGAGCTTTTTTGCTCAAGGGTGGCAGTCTACCACTTGAACCATAGGCTCCACAGACTTTCCCACCTGGCTGGTTTCCAGCCACTCTCCTCAGATCTCAGCCTCCTAAGTAGCTAGTGCTACAGATATGAGCATTCAGCATTCGGCCCTTTCTTTGACTTTTCCTGTTTTGTTTATTATACTTTTCCTTCTCTGTTCTTTACTTTTTTTGAAAATCTACCCAAGAGACAAAAGAGTATCTAGGAAGTGGCGCTGTAGCTCAAGTGGTAGAGTGCTCGTCTTGAGCTGAAGAGCTGAAGGACAGCGCCTAGGCCCAGAGTTCAAGCCCCACGACCGACAAAAAAAAAAAAAAAAGTATCTAACACTGTATCAAGACATCCAAGATTTAGTTGCCAGAAACTAAAGATAGCATCACCAACTTTCCCCTTTCTGGGGGCAGCAGAATTCTTTGTTTTCTGGGCATTTGCATTTGAACCTAGGAGTTCACGTTTGCTGGGTAGGCACTCTGTCACTTGAATCATTCCTTAGATTCTTCTTTCTTCCTTTTTTTTTTTTAATATCAACGTCTCTTGATCAAAATAGTTTGATTACATTGTGGATTTTTTTTTATCTTTATAGCTTTACAGAAACAATTCTTGCAGGTAGTTGTGAAAAAAGTTTCTTAAAGATTTTAAGAAATGTTATTTAAAAAGAAATATCACTACAGAAATTATAGTGGTGCAATGTCACTTATTTTTCTTCACATATAGTAAACCTTTTATTCTATTTTCTATAATAACATTGACTTGAAATAATCTCACATAGTTAACATTAGCCATTTGTAGATGAGTAACAGTAAGTGGAGTAACAGTCTTTGCATTCCTTTTAAAATCTTTTTAGACTAGTTACTTAACAAATTAGGATTAAAAAAAGTAGCATTACATTCTCTTGTTGACTATAAAAATATTTACAGATCAGTTATCTACAGACCTAATTTTGAGTTATCCTTGAATCTTAGTGCTTTAAATGTCCTTCTACAAACACATAAAACTGTAAGAAAGTGTTGTTATGAAATTATTATAGGAATGACACTAATAATTTCAATTAATTTAAGTTAAACTTATAAGCAAGTTTTCTCAGTGTAGAAAATCCATGAGGATTTCTTGCTGCCTAACTAATGTAGAATTACAGTATGATCAATAATTAATACCAAAGCTAAGACTGTATATATATTTTTTCCACTTAGACATCAAGATCTTTTACTGTTTTATTCTATTTTTTAATAAATCAATATTTTGTATTTCAGTTTGTTGTAGACTGTGAATTCTTTAAAAAAGAGACAAGATCCATACAACTTCCTGTAACTCATCTTTTTTCCTTTGGTAAGTACTTGGTTTGGGACTTAAAAATAACTTTTATTTTTAACTGAGTGCTCATTTATTTTGCCGGCTACTTGCAATGAAGCAGTCTTTTTTCTCAAGTATAGTTCTTAAAATACCCTATGATGTGATTCAGTATTCTATTCTCATTTAACTCTGAGCCAGCAATCATTCTCTGAAAAGTGAATTTTAAAAGGAGTTTTTTCACAATCATATTTTCAGTATACGTGTATATTATGTTGTGAAATTTATACTAATACTTGCCCTTACTATAAAATTTTCATTATAAGTTAAATTGTTATCTGATTCATGAATGTTTGAATTTCAGTCTTCCTATAAGCTTTATTTTGAAGAAATTTTAAACTTACAGAAAAGAGTAGAGTTCCTTTGTATCCTTCACCCATCTTTCTTGGATGCTGGTCTCCTCCATACACACAATACTTTCTTTTCCTTTGAGACAAGATGCTGTGTAGCTTTGGCAGGTGTTGAACTCACCACTCTCCTGCCTCACCATCCCAAGTACTTGAATTATTTGAATGTTAGAATTTTTGAATGTTAGGGATACACCACTATCCTTGGCTTTTAACAGTAAGTTAGCATTGGTGTGGTACAATTAACCTCACAAATACCAGACTATTTGTTTTTATCAGATTTTCACTGATTCCTTCTCCTCATTTTATTTGTTATAACAGCTGTACTTCATATTATTACAGCTGTAATATGTAACCATTTCTCAGACTTTTCAATCTTTCATCATTTTAAAACCTTGTTAGAGTGCTGGTCATTAATTCTGTAGACCATCCCTCCATTTGGATTTGTCTAATACGTTCTTTACTATTAGACTGAGGTTGTACTTCCTTGCCAAGACTACCACAGAAATAATGTACATTTCATAGATCAGCAAAAATGATATGAATATATCTAATTACTAGTGATTTTAATCTTGACTTCTTGATTAATTAAGATGATACTTGCTGGATTCTCTACTATAAAGTTAGTAACTTTGTAGAGATACTTTGAAAATATGTAAATATCCTGTTTTTGTTTAACATAACCCACTAATTTTATCATCCATTAGTTCATCTAATCTTCAGCAAATAGTACTGTGACATTTTGCATTTATTGAAATTCTCCTGTGATATGAAGTTGTCTTTTCTCTTCCTCTTACTTTAATGTCACTATAGACTTATAGATATATTTTTATTCATTGGGTTATAATCTAGTACTGTCATTATATATCGTTTGCTTAAGTTGTTACAGCTTTGGGTATTAGGAGCACTTTTTAGATTGGTTTCTATGCCCTTTTGATATGCTTCATGCTTTACATATAGAGTGTGCATGCGTGCGTGCGTGCGTATGCATGTGTGTGTGTGTCTATATCCATGAAGGGAATCTGTATTACTTGATAGGTAATAATGTTTTTTTTTGGGGGGGGGGTCCGGTCATGGGGCCTGAACTCTGGGCCTGGGTACTGTCCCTCAGCTCTTCAGCTCAAGGCTAGCGCTTTACCACTTGAACCACAGCACCACTTCCAGCTTTTTTCTTTTTGCTTATGTGGTGCTGAGGAATCGAACCCAGGGCCACATGCATGCAAGGCAAGCATTCTACCACTGAGCCACCTTCCCAGCCCTTGATAGGTAATAATGTAATAGTACAGAATTAACAAAAAGCTTGTAAATGAAACACATACAAACAAAACATATCGTTCTGAAATTATACATAAGTACTTAAATTTTTTAATTTCAAAATTATTAGCATTGTTTTGTTATTGAATCAAATGTTTAAAAAATCATTTGAGTCAGGCGCCGGTGGCTCAAGCCTGTAATCCTAGCTACTCAGGAGGCTGAGATCTGGGGATCACGGTTCAAAGCCAGCCCGGGCAGGAAAGACTGTGAGACTCCTATCTCCAATAAACCACTAGAAAACCGGAAGTGGCGCTATAGCTCAAGAGCGCTCACCTTGAGCTGAAGAGCGCAGGGACAGTGCTCAAGCCCAGAGTTCAAGCCCCACGATCGACCAAAAAAAAAAAAAAATCATTTGATAGTCTAAATAATATAGTACTTTTATTTCAATAGGATTATCTTCAAGGAAAGTGATATTAAATACAAGTGGCCTGTACTACAATATAGAGCTTCTGAACTTTGGGCAGGTAACTATCCTGACTGTAACAGGAAGGATTTGATTTTGTTTACTGTTTCACTAAGCAAGTAAAATTTTTTTGTTTTTGTTTTTTGTGGTCAAACCCCTATTAGATATACCAAGCTTTTAAAATCAATGTGGTAAGCAGGTGCTCCGGAGTCAAAGGTAAGTAGTATTGTCATTTGAAGAATCAGTCAGTGGGTTTCTAATTTTCGGTAATACTTTCCCTTTCATATATTTCTTGTATATATTTTATATGAAACATATAAAATATGTGATAATAGGAAAAATGTTTGTATTTCTAAGGGAACTATAGAACATAGACACTTTCTTTTTGCTTTTACTTGTCATGGGGCTTGAACTCTGGGCCTGGGCTTTGTTCCTGAGTTCAAGGCTAGCATTCTGCCACTTGAGCCATAGCTCCACTTCTGGTTTTCTGGTGTTTAATTGGAGATAAGAGTCTCAAGGACATTCCTGCCTGGGCTGGCTTTGAACCACAGTCCTCAGATCTCATCCTCCTGAGTAGGATTACAGGCATTAGCTACCAGTGTCTAGCTATACACACCCTTAATAGAATATATCTTAATCTGTTTGCATTTAAACATCTACTTTTAAAAAGTACTATATATCTTTGTTTTCATATAGTATTAATTCAGATTTCATCTGTTTAATATACCCAAATAGCTTCTATAGGTCTTAATAAATTCTTCATCATTTCTTATGTGATATAATCGTTGCTGTTTATGTTTCATAAAATTGGACAATTGTGTCATTAGTTAGGTAGCTTCTGTAAAAGTTATATAACATGATGAGTAATGCTTCATTTTTTGTATTTTAACAGATGAAATTACTAGTATCTACAAACTTCATATTCCCTGGTCTTACGAAGATTCACTTACCATTGCACAGTAAGCTCATGAGAGAATTTAACTTTGGTGTTTTTGAAAAAAGTAGATAGTCTGCTTAATTTATTTAAATGACTTTTACTAAAATATTTTAACTTTACTAAAATATTTCCTTTATCATCATGTCTATAATTTAAGATAACATATGGTATGAAATGATATAGAACTTAAGAACATGAACCCTTTTCTACTCTCTCCCCCATGTCTTAAGTCCTAAGAGGGAACATTGAAATAATTGTGATATGACTGAAAACATGGAGATCCATAATAAGATGTCTATCGCCTGCCTTCCTCTACTCTATTTCACTGTATTGTGTTGAGCATTGACTTAGTCTTGGATAGTACTGGCATTTTGTATTGGAAAATTGATATTTACGTGATCTCTTCAGGGTTCCATCCACCACGGAAATTTCTGTGAAACTTCATATTGCTCAACCAGAAAATGACAGCCATGTGGCATTATTAAAAATGTACACATCATCAGACTGTCAGTATGAGGTAACTCATATTTTCATAACCTTTAAGTATGAGTCAGTTACAAAATAAAGTAGAAATTTCTTTATATTAACAGTAGATAATGGTGATATGGAAGCCAATAAATATAAGAAATAAACATTTAAAATATTTTAAATAGATTTCAATTCAATGATATTACATTAAGCTTATGTGAAATATCTTATTTCTGTTCACTTGTGTTAAATTTTAAATAGTTGATTTTTTAATAGAACTAATTTTTTAAGGGTAAACTAGGATTGAGATTGTCAAAGTAATAGACTGTTCCTTCAATTAAGTTTCAGTTGGATTTACAGTATGAATTAATTCATAGCTCATGGATATCATTAATGCTCTGATATCTTGCAATCTATTGCTAATTATAAAGGGCTTTGTAGGCCTATATATTTTTTAAACTGCACCTTCATATTTCAATATTACAGTAATGGTGAGAATTAGACTACCAATTTGGCCCCAAGTACTTCTTGCTTTTAAAATGTCCATGTTTTACCACAGTGTATATTTTCAAGAAATGTCTCTTGAAAAAAGTCATGTTATCTCCTTTCCCCATACTTTCTAATATCCCCCAAGGAACCCCAAATGGTAGAGATAATTAATTAAAGATCAACTTTTGTTTGTTTTTTTGTCAGTTTTGGCTCTGAGTGAGGTCCCTGAGCTCTTCAGCTTAAGGTGAGCACTCTGCCACTTGAGCCACAGTGCCACTTCATGTTTGTTGGTGGTTACGTGAGAGTCTCATGGCCTGCCCATGCTGGCTTTGCACTGTGATCCTCAGATCTCAGACTCCAGAGTAGCTAGGTTTATAGGCATGAGTCACAGGTACCCAGCTAGATCAATTTATTTTTAAAATATTATTTTTTCTTAAAGTCCTATAGCCAGTATGATCTGTTTATTATATACTCTAGTTATTTAAATTCTTTTGTAAAGTACATATCATAGTATTAGCGGGTACTTGAAAGGGGTGAGGTGGGGTCAAGGGAAAAGGATAGATGAATGAAGAGGAGAGGAGGAGAATGCAGTCAAGAATCCAGTGTATAGCCTACACAATTAAGAGTGAGGGAAAGGGTGGATCGAGGAGGGATAAGTGAGAATGTTTAAAGTGGAGACATTGATTAAGATGCATTATATTCATAAACTGCTTTGTTAAATGACCATTCTTTTGGACAACTGCTTAAAGATAATAATAAAAAGAATTAGAATACTGGAAGGTATGAATGATTAAAACTATACTTGATACAATGGTATCAAGATACTTAAGAGGTACTTTAGAAGATTCTTTAAAATCATTTAAAAATTTATTTACAAATGTGTACTTAGTTTAATCAAATATGAATTAAGGAAAGTAACTTTTTTAATAATTGTTTTTAACTAGGTAACAGTTAAGACTTCCTTCTCACAAATACTCGGACAGGTAAGAGAGAGATTTCTAGCTGGTTGATTATTTATTGTCTTGTGACTAGATAATGAAAAGAGGTTGCAATCTTTTTCTGTAAATCTATAATTTAGCAGACCAGTCTTCTTAGCTGTTGTTACTGCTATAGCTGCTTATTTCTTCTATCTCTTTTTTTCCTTATTATTCTTGAACTTTAGTAAAGCTGAACAGCCATTCTTGGCCCACACAGATCATAGTTAGCCAATTCTTGGTTTAAAATGAAGCTTTTATTTTGGATTCTAAAAATGAGAGCCCCTACTAGTTCTCAAACTAAAGAGCTTGCCTAAATAAATGTCATACTAAGGCTTTTTTATTTCATAATACATTATAATTGTTGGTACAGTGAAATGTGTACTGTTACATAATTGAACATCTTCAAAAAGCTTTTTATAATGTACATGCTCAATTAGTACAAGGTAAAAATAATTTTATTGTGGATAATTATGAGCTAGATTCACATGTCTTATATCTGTAAACCCAGCTTTTGAGAGGCTGAAGTCAAGATGATCACTTAAAACAAAAGTTTAAGGCCTGACTGAAAAAGACCCTTATCTCCAAAAAATAAATAAGAAATGTGTTGAAATTAATTTGCACATATTATTCCAAAAATAATTTTTGAAGTAGTAGAACTGAAATATTATTCAGCATCATAAGAATTTCCAGAATATTTGGACATAAATAATATTTATTAGGAAACATAGTTTCCTAATAATGTGTTTCCTAATGATGTGTTATATTTTGTGAGCTCAGCATTGTAGTTTTTTTTTTACTTTGCCACACTATAATTACAATAAAATACAAAGCAAAATTGACTTAGAACATTTTTATATGCATTATCTCATTTGACTCTGAACAATCTGGTAAAACTGGATGTCAGTTATTAAATTTGTGAGCCTAACAAAATTCTGAGTTATTGAAAATTTTGTGCTAAATTATGTTGGGAGATTAAATGTTAGTTTAAGTTAAGTAACATCATACATACTTAAAATTTTCTAAAATGTTAAAGAAACCATCACTAAGAAAATTATCTGTTATAATAATGTGGAAGAATTCATTCTACAAGAAGAGGCAGGTACCTTTGGTATACTATAGTTAGGCAGAACTTACACACCAAATAGGACATATAATACTTTTGTTTAGATTCAAAGTATTTTTAGTCATAACGTACTAATATAAGAGGACCAGAGATGAAACTTTTTAAAATGTCAAAAAAACTTGTAACTAAATTCTTCTAAAATTTTTGGATGGATGCTATAGTAAAGAGGTATAATATAGCTTAGGCACTTTTAAAAAAGCAATACATATTTTGAGTGTTACTCACATAGTTACAGAGAGAAGAGGAATAAGGAGGAAATACTTAGAAGACTCTTTAGCCTTTGAATAGGTTATTTTTATACAATTGGTGTTTTTTTCTGATAGAAGAAAGGTGAAAATACATTCACATGTTCTTTAAACTACTCTTATTGCTAGAGAAAACAAAAAGTATACCAAGCTGGACATCGGTGCCTCACGCCTGTAATACTAGCTACTCAGGAGGCTGAGATTGAGGATTGAGGTTCAAAGCCAGCCCAAGCAGGAAAGTCCATGAGATTCTGTCTCCAATTAACCACCAGAAAGCAAGAAGTGATGCTGTGGCTCAAGTGGTAGTGAGCTTGCCTTGAACTGAAGAGCTCAGGGACATTACCCAGCCCCAGAGTTCAAACCCCATGACCAACACACACACAAATTATTTTCTCAAAAGAATTTTATGAGGAAGTGGCACTGTGGCTCAAGCGGTAGAGCACTCGCCTTGAGCTGTAGAGCTGAGGGACAGTGCCCAGGCCCAGAGTTCAAGCCCCACAACCGACAAAATAATAATAATAATAATAGTTTTGAGAAGTAGTAGATTATGTAAATGTAGAAAGCTCAGTGTTTCTTGATCTTTTGCTCTTAAAAGAAATTGAAATCTGGATCTTTTTAGGTGAAATCTTTTAACTTTTCAGTGTTGACATCTAATTCAAATCTAATTTAGTGATACCTTAAGTACCCGTGTGCATGTTATGGCCCTGAGTAACACTCAATGCTGTACTGGTGATTGTACTGGTGGACATAGAGATAAAGATGGGTGAAATAACTTGCCTAAGGCTTAGAGCTAGTGAGAAACAAAGCTTGAATATAACCCAGCAGTCTGACCCCGGACCATGCTAAGAGAAAGAGCCTTTGGTCTCCCCACTTTTAGACTCAAATGATCTTTCTGTTTCAGCCTCCCATGTGGCCACCATGCCTAGCTTTCCATCCATATTCTACACTACACTATACATTGCCTATTATGTCATCAGCAGGTAATTATGTTTGTATCAATAGGTAGAAAAACAACATTTTCCCTTTTACTCAGATTTTCCCCTCCTGTTATCCGAAGCTGAAAATTATAAGTCACAAGAATGGGCTGTATGCTTTTTGAAATTTTCTAATATCTCTTAATCAGGGAATCCATGGAGGAATTTGGGGGAGACCAAACTTTAAAAAAAGTTACACTGTATTTTGTGAAAGCTTGTACTTGTATAGATTTCATCAGCTTACCAAAGAGAGTCTGTTTGTCTTGTGTGTATGTGCCGTGCCTGGGGCTTGAACTCAGGACCCCCCGGTGCTGTCTGATCTTTTTTGTTTAAGGCTGGTAGTCTTCCACTTGAGCCACAGTTCTACTTCTAGTTTGTTTGGTTTTTGTTTTTTTTTTTCGTGAGGGGGGTAGTTAATTGGAGATAAGAGTCTCACAAAACTTTCCTGCTTCAGCTGGCTTTGAACCACAATCGTCAGATCTTAGCCTCCTAAGGAGGTAGTATTACAGGTTGAGCCACTAGTGCTGGCCAGAAAAAAAGTCTTTTAAGATTAACTTTCTTTTAAAACTGAACAGTAAAAGAAGTGCTGAATATACATATATGAAAATGCCATGAAACCTATTATTTTGTGTAACTAATATTCCTCAATAAAAGGAAAAAAGTACATAAAACATTTTGGTATTTGTTTTGTGCAGATTGGATGAACTTGTAAAGTAACCTCAGGCACTCTAGCATACTGATTATAAATTCAAGCAGTTTAAATTCCAGTTTCACCCCGGTTCCACTTTAGGGAAGGATTACATCTAAGGTTTGAAGATAACTAACGTGTCACCTTTAATATTATATGGTTTTCCTAATGAGTATATTTAATCTTTTAACTAATGAAAAGTTCTTTGATTGAACACATTTTACTGACAAACAAATAGAGAAGGTAAGTGATTTACCTGTTAATAACTTACCTGTTAACATTTGTAATTATGCAAGATACTTGGGCTCTCTATACCTGAACTTTTTCACCTGTATTTAGAGATAAGAACTACCTCAAAGAATTTTTTTGGGGGGGATAACATGAGATAAAGCATATAAAATGTTTAATATCGTTCCTGAAACTTAGTAAATGATTACTAAACAAGCTTTAATAAGCATTTTCTGCTCAGTTATATCTCTGAAAATTTACATGTTTCTGGCAATGCTGTATATTAATAATTTTTTTAGAGTTTTTATTACTCATTACTGGAGCTATCTTTGTGACCACTTCAGGAAAGGTACAAAGTGAAGAATATGTTTTCATTTTGTGTCAAAGTATATTTATTTCATTAACATTAGTATTCAGAAGTTGCCCATTAATTTACCTGTTTTCTAGGTAGTTAGATTTCATGGTGGAGCTCTTCCTGCTTATGTTATATCTAGTATTCTTCTTGCTTATGGAGGACAGTTATACTCTCTTTTCTCAACAGGTAAAGTGTTTATAATTTTTACATTATTTTTGCTATGAGATTTAAAGTAGAACAATGATAAGCATTATGTGTACATTTAAATAAATTATGTTTAATGAGACACCATAAAGGAATTATTAGTAGTAGCCACTACTGCTGTCCTTGGAAATGCCAAAATAATAGTGGTTTTAGGACCAGTCTTTTTCATATCTTTGTTTCCTTTACATTATTACCACTCACTGAAACCAGCATGGCACAGCTAATCCAAAGACCACTGTCTATGGTTCTGAGACCCAAAAATGACTAATATTCTCTTAATCTATCTCTTTTTTTTTTTTTAACCAGTGCATTTTTTTGTATGTGTGCCAGTCCTGGGGCTTTAATTCAGGGCCTGGGCCTATCCCTGAGCTTCTTTTTGCTCAAGGATAGCACTCTACCACTTGAGCCATAGCTCTACTTCCAGCTTTTTTGGTAGTTTAAGTAGAGGTAAGAAACTCATGGACTTTCCTGCCTGAGCTGGCTTTGAACTGGGATCCTCAGATCTCAGCTTCCTGAGTAGCAAGTGTTACAGGCATGAGCAACCGGCACCTGGCTTTATTTGTGCCATTTTTAATAGGAAAAATATTTTGAGTTTAAAGAAATGAAGCCTTAAAAATATAGCGCTGGGCACCTTTATTAACAGTCTTAAGTTCTTTAAGCTATTGGCACCTTTATTAACAGTCTTAAGTTCTTTGAGCTATTGGTTCCAAACGCAGTCTTTCCCCCCTTGATATTTCTTGTGAACAATTGTTTTGTACTTTCATGTTTCTCATTTTGGCTTTTGCTGATTACATCCCATGGTAAAGTTAAACATGTTCTTCTATCAGATCTGTTCTTTATAAATTAATGGTTAGAGCTATAGACTTAACTAAATTTAGATTCTCATCCTCTCACCCCACTCCACTCCTGCTACCACTATAACTACAGCAACAGCCAAAAGAGTTCAAGATTGAATATTTGAGTGACGTCCACTAGTAGGCATCCACTCTCCAAGCTCCTTCCCGTTATCCTGCTTTGTTTCCTTCCTTCCCACCCTCTCTTCTCTTTCCGCTACCTACAACTTCCACCCTTTCCCATTTCCATCTTTCATCCTTATTTCTATAGGTCAATACTTTATAATTACTTTATATATTTCTTTATTGTGAAAATACCGTACAGAGGGATTACAATTACATGAGCAAGGTAATGAGTACATTTCTTATCAAGCATTGTTACCTTCTCCTTTGTTTCCCCTTACCATCCCTTCCCATCCTCCCCTCCCAACCCCCCCCCCCCCGCACACTGTGCCCAAGTTGTAAAGTTCATTTTTCCACATAACGTCTTGTACATCTCATTGTTGCGATGGGTCCACAATGTGTTTTTTCCCCTCCCCTTCCCAAATTATACCAACATCAAATACAGTGAAAATAGGGGTTATACTGTGGGGAAAGGACATATAAAACGTCAAAGAAATCATCTTATAAATACATTAGAAACAATAGCAAGCAAGAAAAACCATTTGAGTTCTTATCTTGGGGTTCATTTCGCCTAACATCAACTTATCCGACTGTTTCCTCTTGTCTCAAACATATACTAGTTATTGCAAATAAGGGAAATCCTGGGAACTATGTTTCTTTGGGCCTGGCTTATTTCACTTAATATAATTTTTTCCAAGTCTTTCCATTTCCCAACAAGTGGGACAATGTCATTCTTTCTGCTGGAGGCATAGAATTCCATTGTGTGTATATATATCACATTTTCTTGATCCATTCATCTACTGAGGGGCATCTGGGTTGGTTCCATATCTTAGCTATGGTAAATAGTACTGCAGTTAAACATAGTTGTGCTGGTAGCTTTAGCATGATCTTGTTTGTGATCATTCAGGTAAATGCCTCAAAATGGGATTGCTGGGTCATAGGGGAGCTCTATGTGGAGTCTTTTGAGGAACCTCCATACTACTTTCCAAAGTGGTTGAACAAGTTTACACTCCCACCAACAATGCAGTAGGGTTTTTTATCTTATATGTGACTGAAGAAACCAGAAGATTCATGACTGAGAACAGAAGTTCTCAAGGGTTTGGAATCCTTAAGATTTAAAGACATCCCCTAGAAAATTCTGTATTTATTCTATCCATTTTATATGCTGGTGTCTGAAGTTTATTCTTTCCATTCTAAAGATCTTCTAACATATATAACCTTATTGAAGTTCCCTGGTTCGCCATTCTTTTTTTGGTGCCTAACATAGTATAAATCACATAGCAGGCACGTGATATAGACTGTATAAGTTCTGAGTATTAAGTCTAGATACAATAAATAGAATAATTGAGATTCTTTTTCCTGTAATATTAGTCTTCTGGCCTTCTGCCTATTAGGGCCTCCAGAGGGTGACCCACCTATGTTAGGCTTTCTGTTGTAGCTAGAATAGCAAGCGTATGCCACCTCAACCATCACTCCACTAAAAAGGGATCTCATACACCTTTTTTTCCCAAGCTGGCCCTGAACCATGAGCTTTCCAATCTCAGTATACCAGGTAGCTAAAATGAGCCAGTCACGAATACTCAGGAAATAATTGAAGTTTCAATTGAAGGGGCTATTTAAAAGGCATGTGCCAGGTTCAGAGAAAACAGTCAACAAGAGATGATAAATTTCTGCTAAATTAACAGCATCCATATAGCAGTTCTGAGTGCCAGAGTAAAAAAAAAAGCAAACCTAGAGAGCTATGGTAATGGGCAGTATTATTGGAGATACAGCTTTGGGTGTTACTGCCACTCTGCAGGAGAAAGGTGGAGAAATACATACTCTAGCTTTATTTCTTCTTACTTTCTTATCTATTAGTAACATCCATTCATTACATCTAAGCAGAAACCCATTTCATAAAACTGAATCTTCCAGAGTCAGAGCAAAGTCCAAGGTAGAAAAGGTTTATGCCGAGAGCTATAAAATGTATAGTACCATGATCAAATCTTTCCTATAGTATATTTAAAAAAAAAAAAACAGTTTCCTAAGAGCGTAAATTTTATTTTGCTGGGCAAAGGGAATAAGCAACGAGGCCAGAGATGGAAAAAAAAAGAGTGAGGCAAAAATAAATAGAAGCAGTCCACATATACCCTCTACCATTTCCATCATGCCAAATCCTTCAACTTTTATACTTCAGCATTTTATATAACTTCGAGTCAGTTTTGCTGTTCATTTTTACATGTTAAACTTTATTCTAGGGAGAGAAAAGTAACATTTAGTGTAGTCTGCCCAAGACCTAACTTTTAATTAAGAAATTATTCTGGGGCTGGGAAGGTGGCTCAGTGGTAGAGTGCTTGCTTCGCATGCATGAGGCCCTGGGTTCGATTCCTCAGCCCTACATACACAGAAAAAGCCGGAAGTGGCACTGTAGCTCAAGTGGTAGAGTGCTAGCCTTGAGCTGAAGAGCTGAGGGACAGTGCCCAGGCCCAGAAGCCCCACGACCGAAAACAGTCTGAAAAGTTCCTCAAAGAGCTACAAAACAACTTATCATTTCTGTTCTTAAGAATAGACTCAAGAGAAATTAAAACATGCAGTTGTGTAGAAACTTTACACAAATGTTCATGAATGTTATTCATAAAAGCCAAAAAGTGGAAATAATCAAATGTCCATCAGTTACTGAATAGATCAATGAAGTGTAATACATGCAGACAATGTGGATATGGCTCAGTGGCAAGCCCTTGCCTACCATGCTTGAGGCCTGGGTTTAATCCCCAGTATGCTTTAAAAAAGAAAGAGATGAGGTACTGATACAACATGGATAAATCTTGGAACATGCTCAGTAAAAGCTATGCATTCTATGACTCCCTTCTATATGAAATGCTCAGACTAGGCATATCTGTAGTGTTAGAAAGTAGGTTGGTGTTTTCTAAGAATGGGTAGATTAGAGTACGGCTGTTAAGGGAAACAAAGTTTGCTTGGAGGTGATGAAAATGTTGTAATTGATTGTGGTGATGGACACACAACAGTGAATATACTATAAACTAATGAATTGTATAGACTTTAAATGGGTGAATTATGTGGCATGAGAATTGTATTTAAACAAAGCTATTTTTAAGAGTCATTTGTGGAGATTTGTGAAAACAGATGAAACTTAGCCTTAACTCTCTGCACTTGCTTCACAAATGACTAAATATGTGCTGCCCTATAAAAACACTGAATTACAGTAACTTTAATTCTTGGAGAATAGTATCTGGTGATGGTAGTAAAGGCCTTAGTATTTTCTGACTTAAAATGTGGTTCTTAATATTGTGCTTCTTAATATGTGTATGTTGACTTTTGCAATACAAGATAAAATATATCTCATACTTAATAACTGTGAATTCTCTTGCATATTTTTAAATTACCAGGTTATTGCTTAGAATATGCTACTATATTGGATAAAGAAGCCAAACCATACAAAGTTGATCCTTTTGTAATTATGATTAAATTTTTATTGGGGTAAGTTTTATATGTCATAGTAATTTAATGTATCTTGCACATAAAACATTATATTTGAGCAAGTGGTAGCAAATACAAGACTCTAGTCTTGTCAGACTCTAGTACTGTCAATAAAACAAAGCAAATAAAACATTATGCTTGATTCCATATACCATAAATTATCATATCAGTTTGACAATTGACTTGTTCCATAAAATGACATTTTTCTTTTAGGAAAAGGTTTAGTAAGTACATCAATATTTGTTTTAAGAATACTATTTTTTCAAAAGTTATTACTAAACTTAAATATATAAATTTATCTAACTTAGGCTATAAATGTACAAAGACTTTAGTGTTTGTGAATGAATGCACACACATATCACTAGAGTATCTCAGATTGGCAAACAGATGATTATAAAGTATTCAGAAAACAGTTTCTCTGACCACTTTCTTTTAATACTGTACAAGGAGTATTTTAGATTGATCTCTCCTCCCACTTCCCCCACAAGCCTGGTTAATATGCTTTCCTAAATTTATTCACATTTTATATATTTTGGTTAAGAACTATTACTTAGATCTTTTATTCTGTCATTGAAACTAGCTGTTGACTTTCTAACTTGAAAAAAAGAATGTATTAGTTTATGCAAGAACCATTAAGAGTAAAGTTGTGTCAAGACTCAGAACTCATACTTGAAGATCAGTAGGCTTACTTGGAAGAAAAATGGCTTGTTTCCTTCAAAATATCAGGATTTGTTTTTCAGTATAAATAATAAATTGAATATGGTAGCTCTCTAAGGTATTTATTCTAGTGAATATTAAATCCTTAAATGTCAGTTGTTGGATTTGTGTGTGTGTGTATTTGCTTCATTCTCTTACCTTTTGTCCACAGGTATAAATGGTTTAAGGAATTATGGGACACATTATTATTACCAGAACTGGATGCTATTGTTTTAACCAGTCAGAGTATGTGCTTCCCCCTTGTGTCTTTGATTCTCTTTCTATTTGGAACATGTACTGCTTACTGGAGTGGACTGGTCTCTTCTGCATCTGTGAGACTCCTTTCTTCATTATGGCTAGCTTTGAGAAGGTAGGTAATAGGAATGACTATAAGCTTTCTTATAGCTTTTAATTTTTAAAAATTAGCTGGGTACTAGTGGCTTAACCTATAATCCTAGCTACTCTGGAGGCTGAGACCTGAGAATTGAGATTTGGAGCTAGCCAGGCAAACAAATCCTCAAGATTCTTATCTCCAAATAACCAGAAAAATGCAGGAAGTAGAGATGTGGCTCACGTGATAGAAGTCAAGCCATGAGCAAAAAAGCCAAATGAGAATTTAAGGCATTGAATTCAAGTCCTAATAGTACCACATTAAAAAAAAATAGGGCTGAGGATATATGGCTTAGTGATAAGAGTGTATGCCTAGTGACAAGAGGGCATGTACAAGGCCCTAGGTTTGATCCTCAACACTGGAAGAAATGAGGAAGGGAATAAGGAAGAGAGACCAGGAGAGAAGGGGAAAGGAAGAGAATAGAGACCTTGGTTCAGACTATAAGAAGTGGAAAAGAACTTGAAGAAAGATTATGTAAGGAATAGCTTAAAAATAGCTTAGGAATAGCTAAGAAAATAAATTATATATATATATGTATATTTGGGAGAATTGCTGATATTAGAAAAGGATTTTTATTGAAAGAGTACTGGAAAGTTGATTAATCTAAGATAATTCCTGTAATTATTATGTTTACATACATAGAAAGGCCTTCCTTTGTGTATAGAACTAAACAGGTTAGCTCTGACCGAGTAGTAGTACAAAGTGGAGAGAAATGAAGAGGAAGGAGAGGAAAAAAAGAAAGAAAAAAATTAAAATTGGGAAACTGAAAAGTGGAAGAAAGAGCTAAAAGTGAAAAAAATAGAAGATTTAAATAAAATAGCAGATCCTAAGAACACAACAAAAAATAACAAAAAGAAACAACAAACAAACATAAAAAAACTATCTTGGGGTTCATTTCACTTAGTATCATCTTATATGGTCACATATACATAGATTTTGACCTTTTCTGCTTGTCCTAGACATATACTAATCATTGCAGATAAGAGAAACCATGGGACCTATGTTTTTTTGGGCCTGACTTACTTCACTTAATATAATTATTTCCAAGTCTTTCCATTTCCTAATAAATGGGGTGGTGTCATTCTTTCTGATGGAGGCATAGAATTCCATTTTATACACACACACACACAAACGCACGCACGCACGCATGCGCGCCACATATTCTTGATCCATTTGTCTACTGAGGGTTGGTTCCATGTCTTAGCTATGGTGAATAATGCTGCAATAAACATAGTTGTGCTGGTAGCTTTAGTATAGTCTTGTTTGTGATCATTTGAGTAAATTCCCAAAAGTGGGATTGCTGGTCATAGGGGAACAGCAATGCAGTAGCGTTCCCTTTTGGCCACATACCCTCCAGCATCTGTTGTTATTAGAGTTCTTGATGATAGCCATTCTAACTGGGATGAGGTAGAATCTCAATGTTGTTTTGATCTGCATTTCTTTTATGGCTAGAGAAGTTGAGCATTTCTTCATGTGTCTATTGGCCATTCTTATTTCCTCTTCTGAGAAGTCTCTCTTTAAGTCTTTAGCCCACTTATTAATCAGGCAATTGTTTCTTTGAGGATTTGTTGTTGGGGAACTTAATTTTTTGAGTTCTAAGTATATTTTAGATATGAGACCCTTGTCCATTGTATGGCTAGTGAAAATCTTCTCCCAATCTGTGGACTTTCTGTTTATCTTGCTAGCTATGTCCTTTGCCATGCAGAAGCTCTGCAGTTTCATGAAATCCCCATTTGTCCAACCTTTCTTTGATTTGTTGTGTCTCTGGGTCTTTATTAAGAAAATTTCAGCCGGGCTGGGAAGGTGGCTCAGTGGTAGAGCACTTGCCTTGCATGCCTGAGGCCCTGGGTTCGATTCCTTAGCACCACATAAGCAAAAAGAAAAAAGCCGGAAGTGGCATTGTGGCTCAAGTGGTAGAGCGCTAGCCTTGAGCTGAAGAGCTGAGGAACAGCGCCCAGGCCCAGAGTTCAGGCCCCACAACCGAACCCAAAAAAAGGAAAAAAGAAAAAAGAAAATTTCAGCCTATGCCAAGGAGACCTAAGGTTTCTCCTATTCCTTCCTGTAATGTTTTCAGGGTGTCTGCTTTGACTCTTTAGTCTTTGATCCATTTGGAGTTGGTTCTGATGCTGGGTTATATATAAGGATCTAGCTTTAATTTTCTACAGATGTTTAACCAGTTTTTCCAGCACCATTTACTGAAGAGGCTGTCTTTTTTCCATTCTATATTTTTTTAGCTCCCTTATCAAAGATTAGGTGGCTATAGTAGGTCTGTGGGTTCATTTCTGGGTCTTCAGTTCTATTCCATTGGTCCTCAGGTCTGTTCTTGTGCCAGTTATTACTATGGCTTTGTTTTGAAATTTGGTATTGATATTCCTCCAGCAGTGTTCTTTCTGTTAAAGATTGTTTTTGCTATTCGGGGTCTTCTATTGTTTCATATGAATTTTTGAATGGCTTCTTCTATTTCATTGAAGAATGAGGTTGGGATATTGATAGGTATCGTTTTGAATTTGTAGATAGCCTTTGGCAGTATTGCCATTTTCATGCTGTTAATCCTCCCAATCCAGGAGCATAGGAAGTTTTTCCACTTCCTAAGTTCTGCTTTAATTTCCTTTTTCAGGTTTTTAAAGTTTTCATCATAGAGGTCCTTCACTTCTTTATTTGGGGGGGGGGTCCGGTCGTGGGGCCTGAACTCTGGGCCTGGGTGCTGTCCCTCAGCTCTTCAGCTGAAGGCTAGCGCTCTTCCACCTGAACCACAGTGCCACTTCCGGCTTTTTTCTTTTTGCTTATGTGGTGCTGAGGAATCGAACCCAGGGCCTCAGGCATTCAAGGCAAGCACTCTACCACTGAGCCACCTTCCCAGCCCTCCTTCACTTCTTTACTTACATAAACTCCTAGGTATTTTATTTTTTGTGGGGCTATTACAAAATGAGTTGCTTTCCTGATTTCAGCCATACTTTTCTCATTATTGGCATACAGAAAAGCCATTGATTTTTGAGGGTTAATTTTATACCCTGCTACTTTGCCAAACTTTCAGATCAGCTCAGTAGAGATGAGTGGAGTCCATGGCGTTCTTTAGATACAAGATCATGTCATCTGCAAAGAGGGAGAGTTGTACTTCATCTTTCCCTATTTGGATCCTCTTTATGTTTGCTGTCTTATTGCTGTAGTTAGGCATCCTAATACTAAATTGAAGAGAAGTAGAGAGAGTGGACATCCTTATCTCGTTCCTGAGTTGAAAGGAAATGGCTTTAGTTTTTCCTGTAGGTTTGTCATACACAGCCTTTATTATATTGGGGAATATTCCATGGATTCCTAGTTTTTCCAGAGCTTTCATCATAAAAGGGTGTTGGATATTGTCAAGTGCTTTTTCTGCATCTATTGAGATAATCATGTGGTTTTTATCTTTGCTCTTGTTGTTATGAATTATATTAATTGATTTCCATATATGAACCAGCTTTGTATCCCTGAAATGAATCCTGTGTGATCATGGTATATGATTTTTTGGGTGAGTTATTGAAGTTGATTGGCCAAAATTTTGTTGAGGTTTGCATCAATGTTCATCAAAGAAATGGGTCTATAGTCCTCTTTCTTTGATGAGTCCCTGCCTGGTTTTGGGATGAGGTTTATGATGGCTTCATAGGAAGAGTTTGGTAGTGAACTTTCAATTTCATTGAAGAGTTGGAGGAGTGTTGGTGTGAGTTCTGCTTTGAAGGCCTTGGAGAATTCAGCTACCTTCCCTCCACTGCTCCTTGAAAAGGAATGAGGATATCTTGTGTAGTACTCACACCTTTCCCTTGGTTTCCAGGCCATTCATGGTCTGACTGTCTGCGGTCAGCAGGATGAAGATTTCCATTCCTTGTCAGTTCTTGCTGGTAGTGAGCAGAATGCCTCTGGTGCCTTTGTCCTGGGCTCGTTCTCTCTCTGTTGATATGGTGGCTGCGGCAGCAACCACCACTGCTGCCATAGACACTGGCGAGTGCTAGAATCTGTCTCCTTAACCAAGCTGCCTGAATTATCCCTCTTTGACCAAACTCTCTGTACTATGATGGCACACTTGATGTGACTCTCTAGCCTTGGACTTTTCACTAGAGCACTAAAACTGGTTTTTATGTGAGAGCTTGTTGAGCCCCCAGCTTCTCCTCCACCATCTTCCTCTGCAATTTTCTAACAGATTTCTAACAGTAACGACTTCAGGCATTTGAGTGATCACAGGCTTCAAACAATGGAAATTTGTTCTTCTTATCAAGATTGGAGATATATGGTACAGGATCTATAACTAATGATCATCTGTGGCAGCATTTTTTTCCTTAGTTTAAGTATCAGCCATAGAATATCTGAATGGAAGAGGAGGTGTCAATGTGTTACAGATTTTAAAATGAAATATATGATTGCCTGTCTTTTATTTTTAAATACCTTATTGTTGACCCTATATTACTTAACATTAATAGACAGGAAAAGCTGGTGACATGCTTTAAATTCAGTTTCCCATTCCTGAAATGCTTAGGATAACAGTTGTTTTGGATTTGGATATATTTTGCATATCTATATTGACAAATTGAGGTAGGATCAAGATCATCATTTCATGTATGTTTTCTTTTTTTTTCCTTTTTTTTTTATTGTGAAAATACCATACAGAGGGGCTACAATTACATGGGCAAGGTAATGAGTACATTTCTTATCAAGCATTATTGCCTCTCCTTTGTTTCCCCTTCCCATCTCCCACCCCACCTCCACCACCCAAACCCCCTGCCAAAGTTGTAAAGTTCGTTTTTTGACATAACGACTTGTACATCTCATTTTTGCAATGGGTCCACTTGTATCCCTATTAAGACAATTTGTTTTTGCCCTTCCCCTCCACAAATTATACCAACATCATATGCGGTATAAGCAGGGGTTATACTGTGGGGGAGGGACATACAAAGCAACAAAGAAATTATCTTATGAATATGTTAGAAACAATCGCAAGGTCATGTATGTTTTCTCTATATTATATATATGAAACCTGCAGGTAATGTTACACAGTACCACCACCGCTTTTTTTTCTTGCACACAGGGCCTTGTTCTTGCTTTTCTTCCTCACAGCTGGTGCTCTACCACTTGAACCATACCTCCAACTTTTTGCTGGCCAAATTAAGATGGAATCTTTTGAACTTTTCTACCTGGGTTGGCTTGAGGTGATGATCCTCTAAATCTCAGCCCTCTGAGTAGCTAGATTACAGGTGTGAGTCACCAGCACCTACCTTTTTACAATATTCTTTGTATGCGTGTGCCAGTCCCCAGAGTTTAAACTCAAGGCCTGGCAGCTGCCTCTGAATTTTGTGCTCAAGACCAGTGCTGTACCACTTGAGCCACAGCTCCACTTGTGGTGTTGTGGTGCTTACTTGGAGAGGAGTCTCACAGACTTTTTTTTTTTTTTTTGTCGGTCGTGGGGCTTGAACTCTGGGCCTGGGCGCTGTCCCTCAGCTCTTCAGCTCAAGGCGAGTGCTCTACCACTT